TGCCTGATCAGGTGGCGAAAACACTCGCAAAGCTAACGCTTCAGCCCCTTCCAGGAGGAAACACAGCTTCAACCGATGCTCCGCACGTTAGTGTTCATTCTACTTTCAAGCTTGGCGAGAGCTAGCGCCACGCGCTGTTGTTCATTTCGGAACATGGCGGATGCCAAAGCTATCTCGTCCTCTCTCACCCTGAGAAGAGATTCTCTCCATCCTTAACCTCGAATGTCTTATCACTCACCCTGAGCGGCCTGAATCGGGAGGAATCATTCGTCGTCGACGGTGGCGTCATAGACTAAGTTGAAGATGACAGCTTCTGCTGTAGGCTCGCGTTTATCATTTCGGGCCCTTGCGCAACAAGGTGCTCCACGCCCACAGGGCCAAGCAAGGATCATCAGCTTACTAAGCCCATCCGCATGCCCTGGGGCAAATAAAAGTATTCCTCCGTCCGCGCAGAGGATCAGCCGTAATGGCTCAGGTGCATTTTGGTTACGAGTGCTACCAAGTGCAGGGGCTCTGTAGCTCTTTGCCTAACGGAAGCTAAGCTAAGGTCACCGACCTTACGTTCTTTATAAGAGTGTAGCGGATCGCAATCCGCTACCTCCAATTACTTAAACCTTAACCAAGGAAAAAACGCTCTTTCGTTTAATATTGAAACTGTATTAGATTGTTTTAGTTGCGGCAGGGCCACAAAAACCTAGGTTTTCCTAATTGTTATAGAAATACTTACTAGTATATGGAAACCTATTTCATATGGCTTTTTGTTACGGTGTAGCCACACCACTGTGTGATTCCACCAACTTGTGCAATACACACGTATGTGCGGACAAAGGTACGTGTAACCCCATTACATGTACTCTATCATGTTGATTTGTATTAAGTACGATCTTGGACGGATTGATTATACCACTCGTTAATTTATCAGAACTATGAGTTGGCATATAAATAATGTTTCCTAAACGTTTTCGACTTGATATTTTTCCGCGCAGTTCCTATTCTTTTCTACTTTTAACGTCTTACGCTTCATTGCTTTTCTTTGATGAACGAAGCATAGGCTTATTACCAGCACGTGCAATGTCCCGCAGTTCCTTCATTTTAGAAGCAAAAAAATTCAAATCGATAAAATATTGTTGTTTTGCTCGAGTTGCCATAGCCTCCCGCTCGATAGGAGTCATTGCAAGTACCCTTTCCACAGCCTCACATACTCCAGAGCCTTTCAAAATGGCTGTAAACCCTTGAACATTTTTAAGACCATGCTCCTCCTTGTACTTTCCACCAAGCATTTGCTCTTTAAAAGCCCAGCGCTCAACTGGAATGAGCACACCAGACTCTGGAGTTAAGAACTCGTTCATAGGCGGTAAGTCAGTCGATACAATGACTGCACCACTTGCTCGTGCTTGATTGATGTAGTGACCATAGCCTTCCTGCAGGCTTGTGCACACAAAGAAAGCCGACTCGGCAATTATTTTTCCAAAATCATCAGCACCAGCACGACCTACATGTAATGAGACTTGACTTTCTCGAATTTTGCTCTCATAATGCTTTTTTAAATTGCCCTCATAAACGTCTTCGTGCATATAGACATGCAGTGGTGGAAATTCTGGACGATTAACCCAACAATCAAGCACAGATCTCGTTCCTTTTTGAACACTCGTTCCAACAGCATGAATGAACTGAACATCCGACCAATTCTTCGGTTTAATTGAATCCTCTCCAAGTCGTGTTTTCGCCAATGTCGCAACATCGGATGATGTGTGTCTAGTATATAACACTTTAGTCTGACGTGGATTACCTTCCTGTTGATACCATTTCGTTACTCGACGAGCACAAATGGCTGTTTTGCAAAGCACAATATCAACTGCCCAATAATGTTCCGGTCGAAGCTCATACATTTCAATATTTGGCATCAGATACAACGATTTTGTCTTTGGCCAATCTGGTGAGTCTGGAATGCCATCCCAGTAGTGATTTAAGAATATCATCGGGGTCCTCGGACACAAATCATGATATGAAAATACTTCACCCGTCGTCTTATTCATATACTTCATTTCGATAGCCCAAGCTGAAAGCATCCGTGACTCTAAATCTACATCATCAAATAATCAGTACTGACTCAAGAAACGCGTCTATCCAGACGTACACTTTGTATACGCAATCGAATCTTCGCAATATCCATGCCCTCGTATGCCTAAAGGTAAAAAGATATCCACATCTGGGCATTGACGCATCTTTTCAAGCAGATAAGGGTCGTCTTTGTGAATCAAAACACTTGAATTTCCAACGTCACCATTGACCCCATAGGTCCACGGGATGACACTATTCTTATAAGTTAAACAAGCTTCATGCAATAGACTCAAATGCACAAGATCAGCCTTGTCCACTTCATCAGCCCACTGAGATTCCATACTTTTGTCATTATAAACGCTTTCCCCATCACTTGGCAAGATCTCAAGTTGAGAACCGAAAGACATAATGCCATTTTCTAATAGCATTGACAGCTCCAATACCAGCATAAGTATCGCTAATGCCAGTGTGCACAATAAAATCTTTGTCTGTATAGAAACACGACCATGTCTGGCGTGTACATTATATACCTTGTGGAATTCCTTCTTAAGCATCGTCGGTAATATACTGCTGTCTGGCAGTTGTGTTTTTTGATAGTAGTTACATGTCCAGAAAAGTACTTGGAATCTTCTGAATGTATATTTCAGTTAGGTACATTTTTATCGCAAGTATATCAAAATCAATGCTACAATGTTAAAGAGATAAGTTACAAATGGACAACAAGAAATATTCGGATTGAGGCTCTGTGGTGATTTGCCTCCTGAGATATCTAATTCGTCATTTGAATTGATACATAATTCGTATATCCATGTGGCGTTCGTACAGTAAAAATCATGTTAGTACACATACACATCAACTTAATTAATGGTCCTCATCTAATGCTTCAACAAGCACAAAGTCACTGGAATTCGCTTCAAAAGCAGTTTGAACCACTTCCTTTTGAATCTGCTCGAGGGAATCGAGTTTTGTTTGCAAACTACGTTGCATCATTCTTGCCTCCTGAGCTTCTTGCACAAGCGCTGCCAAATTCACATGCGAATATGGCTGTAAACGTTTGACCTCGTTCACAAGCATCTTTTTATGCGCTCGCAATTTTTCGTTCTGCTTCTCCAGCTTCTGTATATGTTCGACTTGATCAACATGTTTTTGGCGCCATGAAGATGCTTCGACTTGAGACGCAGCCAAGTGAGTCTCAAGCTCCATGTTCTCTACAGATCGCCATAAACATTGCTCTTGAAAACTAGCACACAGTTGCTGAGCACGCTCCAACTCATTTGATGGTGACTTCTCGTCTGCCAGGTTGGATTGACCAGCTGGTAATATTGCAGCCACGTCATCCGCTTTTTTCATCGGCTTTAGGCTACCAACTGTGCTCGCACGTTCAAGCTTAACAATGGTTTCCAAGCTGGCTTTGTTAATTTCGTCAGTGATCTCAAGACGGTCTTGTGCGCATTTCAGCTCCTTTTTAGCAGCTGCTAGACTTGTTTCAAGACGATTCTAAATTATCACAGAATACCAGACAATGATGAGTGTGTTTGCTGAGTGAAAAGACTTTTACTATTTACCACTTGAGCTTCAAGCTGTAGCGTGCGTTCTTTAAACAGTGCAATATCAAGCCGAGCATCTCTTTCTACATCTTCTTCCACACCTTGGTCTACTTCAGCGTGAATACCAAACATGTCAGCTTCGACGTCGTAACTTTTCCATTCGTAACAATTTTCTAAGGACGTTAGCTTTGAAGTAAGCACAAAATTTTCCAAACACTCAGTAGTGTTGATGTTATTCAGTTCGTTGGTGACATCTAGTACTCGCTTAGCGGTTTCAAGCGCTAGCGTTCTTACTTGAAACTGCAATGGCATTGATACCACACACTCCATATCCATATTCTCCCATTGCAGCGTCACTACACCACGTTTTGATGTCACGTAATGTCCATAACTATAATCATTCTCTCCTTTGCATTTCGTTCGGTACGAGACAACCTCTTGATCTTTTTCACACTCTTCATCCTGGCTACCAAGACAATATGGATTAGCATTCGTCTCTTCTTCTTCGCCACTTGAAAACTCGGCGCTAAAATATAGTCCAGAACCTTGAGCACTAAATTTCCAAATGATAAGCTGTTCTTCATCAACAACTATCGAATACTCAACTACACAACCTGCAGCTACTTTGCGGTACATCATGTTTATTTCGTCTGCATTTATTTCACTATCAATTACCTTTTGATAGCTTTCTTGAGATGATAGATAAGATCCATCAAAGAACGTTATGAGGGCTGTCGGCTTTGTGACATGGTCGCAAATCGTCACCAATCGACGCAAAAACTCTTCTAGTGCAACTGCTAGTCGTATTCCAAGCTGGTTCGAGGGGTAAAAGCATAACTTAGCATCACAATACGCTTCAATAGCCGGTAAAACTGATGTAAAGGAGACAGAGTCGTGAGATTGCTTGAATTCTTGCTCTAGCTGCCGTTCTAAATGCTGAAAATTACGCAATGTTCGCTCAATAAGACGATAGTGACCTTTAAAGTGAAGAAGTATGATCACAGTAGCTTTACGAGATGGAGAAGGGGGCGCTTTTACTGCGAAACTGAGCGTCATATTCTTCGATTGAACTGATAAAGTATGGACTCCAAGCTATCGATTTAAAGAGGATACACGATATTGCTATCGGAGTGCTGGTCAATAGAAAAGGATTGATGGTCGCTCTGACTAACGAGCTTTTATTGGCTAAATACGTTGCAAAAGGTCGAATATTAGGCTTTTTGGAGACTTTTTAAGCGCCAGATGCAGAATATTAGTGAAGAACTGATTTATTCGTCGCATTTAATGATGAAAGCTGTCAAGCTACTAAGAATCCTGTCGTATAGCTGGTTTCCCGACCTCACCCACTGTTATTTTGATCAAGTATCAATACCGCACCTACTTTGCGATCCATCCCACTATCATGCAAATATTTCACGCCTTTGTATAACTGAATCGCGCTTCTGGCAAATACTAAGTTGTTGTATGGATGATGACAAAACCAATCACGAGTTGATTCATCAATCGAAATCGCAAAATTTGTTTATTACTTTAAAGTTCCAAAAAGACTGTACATCCTAACGAAATCTACATGTCTAGTACTAACAGAAGACGCATATTGTGCAGTTTCGCAGTCAGTTTCACAGTATTATTCTTGAAAACGTCCGCAACGACTAGTCTGCAGTATCAAATTTGATCATTTTCATGTACTTGCTCAGCAGTGTCACGTCGCTTAGCTTTTTATATACTGACTTTCATAAGGGTACGATTTATTTAGCATCTTGATAAGAATGACCAGTGGATAGAATCGTAAAATTGCGCGTTAAAGTCAGGACTTGGATGGACGCATGGTAATGATACTGCGAGTTTTAAGCCTCATGATACTAGATAGTTCACATCCCCAAACCCGCACGTCTCAAGTAACAACCTCTCCTGCTCCATGAAACTTACCCAGTTGTCTTTTCCTTACAAATTCTAACAATCTTCATCCAGACGTTCAACAGGCTCTTGAGTTCGTAATTGCTCAATAAGGGGACTTACCCCAATTTTTCTCAGGTTCTGTCAGGCTTCAGTGACGAAAGCAGAGGACAAGAAGAAGAACGGAAGCAGCTGAAGTTCCTTCTTTCTTCTTGCGTCAACTCTACAAACACTCGCTTTAAATCGAGACACGTCCAGTGCGCACATACAAACTTGACAGACAAAAGACGTGTATCCTTCGTGCTTCAAAAGGAAAAGGGCGAAGACGACAACACATTACTGGCTCGTCGCAAGTTTTTAGGGTTTGATCAACTCTTTGATTTCCTTTAAAATAAGGGGAAAGTTGTCTTTAAAATAACAGACAAAATGTTAGCAATGGCACAGCGTCCAGAGCCTACCGTGATGCAGAATCACCGTGGAGAGCGGGTTATGCCACTTCCGTACCGCATGATACCCCAGATCAAAGTCAAGTCACGCAAGCTTTCGGTTATGGAGGGTGACAATGAGCACGTGAAACTGACAAAAAAACAACGCAATGAGTATAATCTCGAACCAGAGCTTGAGTCTGCCACTGATGGTATGAAACGTCAGAGTGCGGAAAGAATCACTCCTTTTGATCTCCATCTTCAAGCGGTGTATGAAGGAAATGCAGAGGATGGAGTGCATTTTTTCGAATCACATGGCTACTATGATATAAGTGATGCAAATACCGTGGAAATGTTCCGTCAGAACTTTGGGTTAAGAAAAGGATTTTGGCTGAACATGGAGAATGAAAACAAAGACATTTCGTGCAATATTCTTGTTCCTGCAGTCTATCCATTTGGCTCGCAACACGAGATTATGAGTTCAAGAAATTTATTGCATCGGGAACGTACCGATTCTGGCAGGTTTACACTTTTGGACGATGAAGGAAATGAAGTGGATGAAGATACATTGTGGGAAATGCAACGCGAAGATCGTCTTAAAGCGAAAAGCTTGGAACTGGACGATGATGACCTTGCGGAACTTGCACATGATGAAATGGTCATGGTACAAGCGATCACATTTATTCGGTCAGAGAAGATTCAGTTGCAACAGTTTTTGTTACAAGCTTTTCAGGACGAACAAGCTCGTGCAGTCCAATTGAAAAGTCCCGCGATACGACCATCCTTACAGATGGAAGTACCACGATCCATGACGCCAACTAATCTCGACTTGCCGCCGTATTGTGGCTATGTGAACCTACTCAAAGACTCGATTCCATTTTTAATGCGTAGCTGGCACAAACGTTGGTTCTATTTGGACTTTCAAGCGGGGCTTGTACTTATCTACAAACGTAGCTATTGGAAGAGTCCACGTGGAATGATTGACTTACGTAACGTGGCTCACATTGAAAAAATGAGTCAAAGCGATTTTCGAATTGAATTTCTCGACTCAGGCTCGAATGCGCCTGCTATGATGCTCATGCGTTCAAAAACGCCAGAAGAGTTAGACTTGTGGGTAAATCTGCTGCGTTTTGCCAAGCAGATATCGCATGGAGTGCCATGTCTTACAACATCTATGATGGACAATACCAAGGCGCTTATGAAGAAGAGTAACAAAAAGACCCAGATTGACGTTTTGGCGCAACTATTACAGGTATCAGCTAATAATGCGCCGTCGAGTCACCTCCGTGCTATTGCACAGGCCTCGGCTATTGCCGCATCTGCTGTCTCCAGACGCAATTGCAAACCCACCAAATTTCATCATGCAATCACAGCATAGGAACATGGTGCAATTGTATTTTCAAATATTCGAAAGTCACATTAGTTGAGAAACAAACAAGAAAAAGACGGTGAAGTGTCAAGACAACTTTGTTCTCCATCTACTTATGGAAAGGAAGCTCGCGTTACGATTTATCCGTGTGTACACGGTCTATCAGCTTCTCCTCTTGACATGTTAATAATCACCTCATTTCAAAGCCGACAAGTAAATCAAGTCCCTTCCATCATCAAACAAACACATAACACAATTTGAAATTTTTAGTAGCTGCAATAAATTCTATTGCGTCGTTTTGCTGTAGTAAATTATTAGACACCACCACTAGGACGCTGAGGCAAGCAGAAATTATAGAAACCACTTTTAGCAAATGATGTCGTCTTGCGCCAGCTGCACGGAACTGCCTTGTAACCTTCTAGAGCAACTGTATCGTTCTGGATTGTTGCTAAATCCTCTTCACCAGTATAATGAGGATCTAGCGTTAGAAACGCGCAGACGCCAGTATCCGGATGATACTCCACACCCAACAACGTAAACGCCAGTTGCCCACCGCCCATCATAACTGGCGTACCCTGGGTTTGAAAATGATGGAGTAACTCACGTGCTACTTCAGGCAATTGAGAGCCACTAGATACATTAAGTGATCGAAATGTCACGCCAAACAACTCGTCAAGAACGTAACCAACTTCTAAACTGCCAATCCACTCGGTCGAACCTTGAAATCGAGCAGGTTTGTCACCAATTTTGACTAAAACACGTTGAATTTGCTCGTGTGATAGAAATTCATGCTGAGTATAATGTTGTAGAAATAGCCACGATGCCAATGTCTGTAATGAACGATATGCACAGCCCCAGCCTTTGTCATTAATACCTTGCTGGAGATAATGATAGTATCCATAAAAACCTTGTACTATAGCCGACAGACACTGCTCTCCTAAGCCTGAGTTTGAAATACCTTCATGCACATTAACAAGTACATTGCTTTTTAAAAGCCACTCGCCTTGTTGAGTTAATGAACATCCACGCGATAGGCGAAAAAGAGGTTGGTGGAATGGTTGCATGAACACACGATGTAGCTTTTCAAGTTTAGCTACATTAGTCATACTTTCGTCACTGCTTAAGGTTAGCGGGAATGCTGCTCCAATTAACGGAAACTGGTGTGTTGTTATTGAGACATTGTCTTCCGATGTATGTTTAAGTCGATTAGCAACATCCGTCAACTGATTGTGGAGCTGATTGCGAAGTAATGCCAACGCATTTTTCACCGACGACTCTACAGGCACCACAACAAATGCTTCACAATGTACATGATAGCGTCTCAGAGTAGAATTGGAGGTTGAGGATGAGGGAATTGTAATCACAGGAGCTACTGCTTTAGTATCGGATGGTGCAAGACCAATCAATAATTCAATATTGGTTATATTCCCATACTCTAATGTTGGAAAGAAACCAAGTTGAGAATTAGATTCTTTTTGCTTGATTGGCATCTTCTTTTTTCCCTTTTTATGTTTCTTGTCATTCTTTAATTCGTCGTTATTGTCATTTTGTAGCACAATTGAATTTAAATACACCAACTCATTTTGCGTCTTAATATCATTTCCATGTTTGTCAAGTATACGAAAACCTCGTTCTTTTTTACCTTCAGTGTACCCAACGCGAACATAAAAATCTCCATTTTCATTCGTTGCAGCCAAAAATTTCTCTACCCGACGTAAAAACATACTTTCGTCTCCATGAACATGAAAATCCACAATAGAAATTAATGGAGCAAGTCCAATAATCCGATAAAAATCGCGAGTATGCAAACATTGCACATTTTGCATCTCAATCATTGTTGCTTTTCCATCTTTGCAATGAAACAATTGAAGTGACTTTGTAGTCACATTATACGCCAATACAATAACTTTTGTCTTGTCATCATTTGTTATTTGCAATGCAGCAGAGTCTAAATATTATAAAAAAATTAGTGTTACAATATGTTCAAAGTATCAATATTTTGAACATTTAGAGCATATACCGAGCTGCGTTAAATCTTCTCCATGTACAATCACAAAATTTCCAATACAAGAAATACCTCCTGGAAGATATTGTGTAAAAGAATAATCTCCAGTATCGTCCGATGACGACTGCAATAAACCCCAGACTGCAACCTGTTGTGTTACTGGAGTGTCAAGACCACTGGTCTTGATGTCTCGACATGTCCCGACGACTAAGCCAGTTGCCAGCACAGAAGGATATGATGATTCATTGCTATATTTGACGTCTTCCAGCTGTGCGAAGCGTTGCAAAGAGCGCAGTAGTGGTTCTGGAAAAAAGCCTTGCATTATCGAATTTGGCGCGAAATTCGGCGATCAAGTTTCGACATAGAATAACCTTTTTAAAATGTATAGACTAGAGCTAATTCTTATATTATAAAAGCTGATAGTTTACATGCGGTTCTACCCAGCCAATGAGATCTCGAAAATATTTCAAGTAGTTGCACAATTTTTTCTGGAACGTTATTATTTGAAAAAATAATTGTATTACTTCTAAATCTTTTGTAATATCTCATTAGATCACCATAAAATCTCATTTACTATTATTGCCAATCCTTTCATATCAGGCCGTGAGCCGCTTAAAGCACCGTGTTGTTCCTTCACTTCCGAGGCCGACGGCAAGCTCCGTCAAGGAGTATGGAGATGGGAGCAGCAAAGATGGCGCTAGGAATTTTGTGCATTACAGCCTTAGCATTGTTGATGCTTTGGATGTATCGTCTTGTGCAGTATCGTAAAGCTGTTCAGCGCTCTCAAGCACGTTGGTTAGGCTACGAACCTGCTCCTATGCTTTCTGAGGATGAAATGGGACTAAATTGGCCAAGTCTCAAGCCATTTTTATTGTCGCCAATACCTGAAGAGAGACATGAAAGTGGCCGCGTACGAAAGTTTTGAAGTAATAAATTTGAACCGAAGAATTATTGACATTATTGTTTATTGAATAGGAGTCCGAGAATGAATCAATGCTTTCAGCACGTCGAGACTCAAGACGATTAAGTGCCATCTCTGTTCTTGCTTGTATGTATTGTATGAGTTTTTCTACTTAAGATATGAGTAACTAAGTGTCGTTTATATGTAGACGGGAGCTTCGATCACCCTGTGGCCAAGACTGCTAAAGTTTAAGGTGCTTGAAACTATTGACATGGTAGTACATTGCAGCGTCAAGCAAGAAGCTGAAACATACAGGAGCCGAACAATATTATTGTGATCGTCCTATTGTCCTAGGTTCCAAGGCTCAATTCAGCACAAAATTATTTATGATACAAGAAACTAGGACGAGAAATTCTTGAAATGTACGATTATGTCTAGTACGAACTGTTGTATTTGTACGATCAAAAATGTAACCTTCAATTGACTGTACACTAACATCGGATAGAAGCAACAAACCTCAAAACTACCAATAGATATCATCATACTACTTTATCTAGTCATTCACGGGTGCTGGTAAGCCACGAATCTGTTTAAATTCTACTGTTTCTTCCGTCGTGACATTTTGTACTTGAGATTCTGTAGCAAAATTTCGATTCAATGGTAGTGGTGTCATAAATCGATTGGCTTCAAAGAGAAATTGATTCAAATCCACTGCTTTCGTCACATAATCAAACATATCACGTGTATCATCATCCATTTCTTCAATATCAAAACCAGCTCGTAATGGTTTCTTCTCCCCAGAGTCAAGAAATGGTTCAAAGACATTATACGATCCATCTGGATGAAAAATATACTTATATTCTTCCGTACGTACACCTTTACTCATCCCATTAAATGGATTACATAAAATCACACGTCGTTCTTGATCACCTTCATCTCTTAAACTTTCAACTTTCTTCTCTATATCTTGATCATCATTTACTTTCATAAATGTATGATGTCGTTTCATTGAATGTCCATATCCATGTTGATACAATGGTTTCTCAGATGTTACTCCTAAGATATCAGCTATTGTTGCCATCAGATCTGACTGCATTGTTAATTGAGTAACAACTTTTCCTTTATCTTCATCTCGAAGAAAATCATCTGCAAGCAATAAAAATGGTACACGAGACGCTTCATCCCATACTCCTGAATCAGCAGTAGATGGATTATTATCATGTTCTAAACGACCATATCCATGATCACCTTGAATCACAATAATTGTATTCTTCATTAATCCTTTAGTACGTAATGAAGTAATAAAATCTCCAAGCATTTCATCTGTAAAATACATTGCATTCAAGTATTTTTTGTTATAAGGTGAATACAATTCTGACAAATCAGGTAAAGTATAAAACTTTGGAATTCGCCATGGATTATGACTCGTGATTGTATACATATCAATAAAATATGGTTCACGAAGACCTTCCCATCCAGAAAGTGATATTTTCATCGTTGTATCATTCAATCTTGATGTATTTCTGATACTATCATCATGTTGTTTGTCATGTACTTGTGTCACATCAAACTTTGTAATATTCGTCACAATATCAATATCATCCATCGAATTCATATTTTCGATATTTGTAATATTGTCACTTGTATTATGAGCTGATTCAATAGCAAATAATAACATTTCAAACGATAAATGATCATGCATTCCCCATGAAAAAAAATCATCCGGACTATTCTTGTAATTTCGAGTTTCATGTAACATTTTGCGTATTTTTCGTTCATCAACCAATTTATCAAATTCATTCTTTACTAAGAATTTATCCCAATATTCCCATGTTAAATCCACTGCACTCCAGAAAAGATTATAATATCCTCGTTGTTTTAAGAAATGGGGTAATCCACGTAAATTCAATGTCGTACTATATTCTTTTAATGCAGTTGTTTCAGTACATGATGGAATCATCCCAAACAATGTTGTTAATAAAGTACGTGAAGTTTGAACACATGGAGTATAATGTTTTGTGTACAGTACACCAGTCTTTGCAAGTTCATCAAAGCGAGGAGTTGCACTCTTTCCAGATTTTGCTTTTTTTGTAGCACCACCAAGAACACCAACATCTAAATGTCTCCATGATTCTAAATTAATCACAATAATATTGGGTTGAACTTGTACATTGTCATTTGAAACATTTTGTTGTTCATTTTGAGTCGAATTTCTAGTTAAATTCAATTCAAAGATTGAATCACCTTGATATCCAATTGTTTTTCTCCATAATAATGCACAATGATCATCATTGCCAAGTTTCTCCACTTCATATGTTTCAAAATCACTTAATGTTGACAATAATGTTTGACTTGCTGCTGTACAATTTAATTCTTCTCGATGAATTGTCGTCGTATGATAAAAAAATTGCTCTGTTTGAAGTGTAAACATCGCATTATTCAAAAGTTTCATATCGACACCACATTCCGTATATAAGAAAATTGAAGCTACGAGAGCAAACACTGTAGCTCCTAATGTCACAATAATACATCGACTTAGAAGTGTCAATGGTCCAGATTTCAAATATACTTGAGAACTTGATGAACATCTCAAACTATTGGAGATTTGATGATTACTTGAGATATTTTGTTGTCGTTTGATTCGTGAACGATACCAATACGAAGCAAATAAATTCGAAACATAAGAAGATGAAACACTTGAATCTTTTCTTGTATGAACTCGATGAAAGAAACAATTCCAAACTCGAGTGGGTAATTGTAAGAAATTAAACGTTAATGGTAAATGTTCTGTATAAATTCCAATCGTAAGTAAAGTAATTATTACAAAATAAATGACCCAAGATCCAAGAATTGTTCGTGTCATAACTTCTTCGTCAGTTAATGATGCCGTAAATTGTTTTGCATAATTGAAAAATAATTCCACAAATGCACGATTTAAACGTGGATGCATTGAAACTTGAAGACAAAAATCAGCAACACTTGCAATAGTTGCAAGAAGTAAAATCAAGTAAAAAAGTGTCAAGATGACAATAGAATGTACCATTCGTTTGACTCGAACCACAAGTACCGGACGATTACTTGTTCCTAAACTTAGTAATGTTCGGTGGTTTGTTGTGACACCAGATGCAAGTGCTTCCATATTTTCATCCCGAAGATCATATTCAGTTGGTAAAACCGGCATATATACTGGTAGAAACCGTGGTGGACCACTTCGATCACGTAAAAAGCCACGAGACGAGACATTTCGACCATTATTTCCTGCTAAACCCCCTTGTTGTGTCAAATTCTCCGAATCAAACAGGAGTTTAACTAGGCAAATACAAGTTGAAGCCTGTAAAAAAATTGCCACATCCTGCATCAATCCTACCACAAGTCCTTGTACAATTTTTAATGGTGGAAAACGATGAACAAATCGTGCAAAATTTAGTACACGACCTAGGACAGGCAGACCGAGAAACATATATACGAGAGCAGCAAGCAACAGAATCTGGTACACTTTTCGAGACGCGACGACCACACTACGTCCTGTCCACCAGCGCTGGGAATCATTAAAAAATGAAGCATTTGTATCGAGAGTCATCGACGTAATGCCACGCGTACCATCATCACAATCTCGCGTAGGTGAGAGACCTCGATTGCGACGATAAATCATTGGCATTCGAGCCTATTAAATATCAGAGACTTTGTAGTTGTAGGACACTAACGATTGCACTGGAAAACTCGTGCCACAAAAGACCTGACAGTTTAAAACAGTGCACGACTATATTTGGCGCAAATCGTAATCGAGTAAATAGCAACCGTCAAACTGAGCCAAGTCGCGTTGTTGGACTCGTAAATCTCCTCCTTCTGTCGACCAGCGGTCCAAGGTGGTACTGGTGTTGTGTGTGTGCAAAGACTTGGACTCTCTACCTCCAGCTTGGATAGAAAAAGACTTACATTCTCACCTCTTATATACGATTGAACAAACTGGAGACGAGACAATAAAGTACGAGAAATTACAAACTTTATAACAGGAACAACTAATACTAGCGTCGAGACATTGTAACGTGTTTTAAGGAGTAATATGTTTTTCTTAGAATAATACGATATTAAATTGACTTTTTTGTATCAATTCGATAGTATTTCTATAATCATAATATATTATATCGAAGTTACAATACATTGAATCATTTCAAGTAAGACAAGAACGTCATGGCTTTCACATATTGAGAAACTCAAAGATATATACCGTATCAGCACCTTGTTCATCAGCGAGTTAATTCTCGATACCTTTCACTAATAAATTTAATTTATAATCACCCATTGAATGCGGCATCGGACAGGCCATGACGAGCCATTAGAAATGGTAAATGACCTATTTTGGTGATGTGCTCCTAATACCACCAATTCCAGCTGTTTTCCTAAAACACGCTGTTGATATAGAATTTATTAGTAATTTTAGGTTCTTCCAATGACAACTATCAACTGCATTATCTTTGAATTATCTAATGTGTTCTCCGCACAAAAGTGAACTTTGTTTGTGTTTATTCTCGTTCTATCATCCTCCATCATACGGCACTTAAGAAAATATTCATGTCAAGAAAAATTAAACAACGTTTTACTTTTGATTTCATTATTTAACGTTCCAAAAAAACTCATGCGCGAGTCTTTTAGCTGACTGGATGTCCTAGTTATAAAAGTGTCTACAGAGCTAAACCAATGGCTACTCTGTATAAACTCACAGTATTTGTAATGTCCAAGATAATTGAAGCGAGTCCATCGGATCTAAACATTCGGTCTGTAACTTCTTCACTCGAGCCAATCAAAGCCATTCGAATTGTCAACAATATTAAAATTACAAAGTCTGCCATCCAAACTCGTTCGATCTGCGGCGATTCGAACATTTTATTGTGATACTGCGAGGCCGAGAATCCGAAAGTGAATGTATCTTTTCGATCTGATAGTGACGCCATTCGTCCCTTCTAACAAGACGTGAATTTAAATAATACGAAACCACAATAATACAAATAAAAAATCGAAAAATCTTCTTGAGATGGTGGAGTAAGAATTATTGCTGGTGGTAGCTGCCACGGACGGTATGTGCGAATGTCGCATTGACCGCAAGCTGGTACTTCATCTCTTTGCTGCCGAAGTTATGTGACTTCGTTATATTGTGGTCGTACACATTACACTTTTGCGTGGATCACACAATAGATGATACTTTTATGTGCTGATGATTGTGCAGTAATTAAATAGTATATGGGCTCTTTTCCCACACTTTCAAGGGAGCAAACCAATCGTGGTTCCTCTAGCGTACAGAATTAACCTCAGTGCGTTAGTAAGTCTACGTGGATTCTTTGAAAAAGTTTTTAAAGCAAGGTTCACGGCAACCTCGTGGCGCTCAGAAGCAACTGTCATCACTTAAAAGGCCAAATTGTTTTTAGGCTGTATCCGTTGTGAGGATGGAGCACGAATTGTTTGATCATGTCCCCGGAACAACCAGACGAGCTTCGTCAGCTGATGTCTATCGTTTGTTCTTAAAAAGTCAAAATTCTGGCGATCCAAGAGATAAGATCGGTAGTTGCTCGCTCCAATAAGCGGATACGCTGTGGGACACCTTTGGAAACGCTCACATCAGGCTTCATAAATCGCACAACTGACTCACATTTTAGGATCGGTCACTTGTGTTGAGCGCTCAAGCCTTTCGAGGCCGAGCGGGGATCGTCAAATCACGAATAAATAGAGCAACGCAGTCGACATCATGTCTGGCCTGATGTTGCTAACCATGTTCACCGTCTATCCCTACGCTATTGACAACTACAAAAATGCAAGTAAACGGGGGTGCGCTTATAGACGGCTTGCATGAATCACAATCAATAGCTCGCGTCGTTCTCTCTAGGTCAGAAATTTTGAATTGGTCATTTCCTCGGCCTGCTTATGACGGAGGGACAGCGGTCTCCAATATTTACAGCTAACATCTCTGTACAGCATTTAAGGAGATGAAGCCATATATCTCGCTGTCGGGGACTGCACCGCCTAATCAGACATACCGTACACGCTTTAAATCTCGTCCACCCGTCTAGGTGGGCGAGAATCAGCGGACCGTTCCCAGGATTTGCGAGCTGTTATCGCTGCGACTATTTAAGCTATTAGCTTGCTAGTAGCTTGGTAGCTTGACCATATTTCAGGTTAAGCTAAGCTAAGCTAAGCTAACAAGCAAAAAGCTAAGCTAACAGTATATAGCTTAGCTTTTTTTAGCTTAGCTGTCAAATAGCTTAGCTTTTGGTCAGTTTGAAAGCTAGCTGCCAACTATAGCTGTTGTCGCAGCCTGCGACAACAGTAGACCCTCTATTGGAAGCACTAAAAGTAACCGTTAGGGCGTGATAGGGTAAGTATTCTACTCTTGTGCACTTAAATCTAATATGTTTAGTACAATTTCTTGAGATTCACCATGCTTTTCGTGCAATTGTGAAAGCTCATAAATCCCAGTGTATCGGTATTAGTGAAGATGATTAAGTCTGTTGCACTCGTGGGCTTCCAGATAAGAGAACATAGACATTTTTATACGGGATAGTAATAACGAATATATTTTGTGTCATTGAAATAAAACTTATTATATGTGCTCTTGAAAAAGCTTAGCAAACTATACGTGTTCGGTTCGTCAAAGGTTCTCAGTTCCATTCCTGGTAAGAGCACACGTTGCCAACCTCTCTGCTCTGTTATCCCAGACTCTTAGAGTCAGACTTTCCTCTGTGCAAATCGAATGGTAGTTACGTTGCAGTCAGTGGCACTTTAAGTCCATTACATAACCAAGCCGTGAAAGGCAGATTGTATCCACTGCGAGGATGATAAATAACATGCCTGAGTACCTGTCCCAATAACAGCAAAACCAGCTTAACAAGTTGTAATCAATTGTTGCAGTTGATGGGATCAGGGGACTGGCAGTCGGAGAGCTGATAATTGCCCTACTGGAAGCGCTCGCCAGCTTTGTAAATGCGCTGGTTTAACACATTGCGGCACACGTTAACAGTGCGCAGGTGAATGAACTGATAGCTTTTAACTTGGGGCTGCTGATTTTGAGCGCCTGGCAACGGAGAGAAATATTTCCTGTGGACGAGGGAGGTCCTGATTGTCGTGGGTTCGGCCAGTTTTTACCAGAGAAATAGCATGTCGCGCTTGCGGTTTCTAAGCCAGGATGTCATGCGCAAGGATAGACACTAACGTGCAATCCCTTGGAATACGAGGCGTTTCCATCGTGGCAAGACTTAAGCGACAGATATTGTGGTGTACGCGCTGTAAACCATATCGGAGGGTAGTCAACTTTAACTCGTAGGCAAGGAATAGACTACAAGTGCTTCCAAGTGGAACAGGTCTGATGAAGCTTAGAATATATACCATTTATACAGCAGGCTTCATTAAATATTATAACTTGGTTCGTACCTTGCGATATGTGCTAGATGTACACCATTTACACTACTTTTTCTCAACCTGTTTTTATTCATAAACTCCGAGACTGACGTGGCCAAAGTGCTAGGATGCAGGCTTTATTAAGCCGAATCGCAGTGGGGCCACCGCAATCCGAGACGCCATCCGAATCAATCAGCACTTCCGTCGATACATCAACTTCATCATTTCTCGTTTCATCGCCTCTCGTATCTCAGAAAGCTACAAATATAGTTTTACCAACTATATCAACTGCAGTAAAAGCAGAGATTACGTTAGCTGTCGAACGTTTACAGTTTGCGACGCTTTTAGGTGAGCGAAAGAAGGCAATTAATGCTCTTTTATTGTTGGCACAGAAGTTAAATACGAGTGAAAATCAAAATGGAAAAGGTATTAAACCTACAAATGAAGAACATGAACTAGGTACATTAGCTGTACCTGCTATTCTAACGGCTTTAGTGTCTGATCCACGCGATACAGAGCTCATGGAAGCCATGTTGGAATTATTGCAATATATTGTCAGTCAAATTCCTTCAGTAGCATTGCTATTACTTGAACAACCATTGGAATTAGATATTTGGGGTATGCAAACGACTCTTACACTGCTTCAAGACCCATCTCCATGGATTCGTGGTCCTGCAATTTCTCTTATTAAAACACTTCAAGATGCTGAACCTCGTGCTTTTGCAAAATCAGTTTGTGAATGTAAAGAAGGACTTCGACGTCTTCTTGAGGTTGTCGAAGATCGACGTGAACATATTCGAGATACAGCATTAACTGTTCTTGGACAATTAACTGGACATGATAAAAATGCACAGCAATTCTTAGCATTTGAAGATGGTTTTGGACGATTATTTCAGATTATGGAAATTGAAGGGTTGACGGAAATTGGAGCAAGGGATGCAAGTACAGTCGTTGCCGATTGTTTACAGATTGTGAATAATATGGTGCGAGATAATCTTATGACTCAGACTTTATTTCTAGAAATGCCGTACTTAGAATCTCATGTTCCAAAGATTTTAAGACTTTCAAGTCAAGATGAAGAACATTTAGAGAATGAAAGTGTGGTGTTAACACGAAGAAAACGTGTATTGAAATTAGGACTACAACTTGTACGATTTCTAGTAGCTGGATTATATGAAGGAGTCGAAAAGTCGACATTAGATGAAATAGCACGACGCGATCAAGATCGTAAATGTCAAGATTTAGCAAGAATGCAAAGTTTGATTGCGAGACAGGAAGCATTGATGGGAGCTGTTGGTGAACTTGTGTGCTGTTCTCAAGATGCATTGACCGATTTGCGATTACAAGCACTAGATCTGTTACGACTTGTCAGTGAACATAATAATGGTGCACAGATGATTTTGATCTCACTTTACGCAGTTCCATCAGGACGCAATGTCTTGGCAGAACTTGTCAATCTTGATGTTGGAATGGAGAGTGATGAGTCACCTGTTGCAGCTGCAGCTTCAGGCTTTTTAGATTCACTTTTTCAAGGAAATGAAGGAGCCCGGATGGCAGTATTTCAGCACATTCACACGCCTTCTCTTCTCCCAACTTCTGTTGATGTAAACGATATAAATGATGCAAGATCTCCATCTTTATCAGCAGGCCGAGTGTTACTTGACTCATTGATTGAAAATATTGATTACATTTCGCAATATAAAGACCACACTAATGTCGAAATGCTAACTTTCAAGCTTATTGGAGCGTGGAAAGCAAGTTGTCGACTTACAAACTTACTAGCAAACAGTTCGTATTGTAAAGAACTTTTACTTCGAGTACCTGCTGAATATTCGAATCTGCAAGCTCGTGCAGTGACAGGAGGATTGTTCTTGTCGCGTTGTCTACGATCGATACGATCTCTGTCGGGTCAGAATCAAACTTCTGCTGTTCAATCAATCAAGTTTCAGGCTCAAATTTCATTACTTCTTCTCTTAATTCGCTGGTGTCATGATTGTCCTAAAGCTATTCGTGAAATCATTGGATCTCTTACAAACTTGTCTGTGCTTATCGATATTCTTTCCGAACAGCACGAGTCTGTATCACAGCGAGAAATATCGGAGATGACACAGATAAGGGGTCTGATTGCTTTATTGCTTGGATGTTGCTTGGAGTTTTTAGGCGAAGACGATGAAGAGAAAGCTTTAAAGCTCGCAAAGACTGATATACCAGCAACAATGTACACGGAACCAAAAGCACAGATGACACGAGATCAATTTCTTCAAATGATTAGCAAGCGTGTAAGTCTGGAACAATTGACAGATTCTATGATTCAATTCCAACAATGCCCCACTGTTCTTGCATGTGCTCGGGTCAGCACATCTCAAAGCTCCCGTGTGCCGCTTATCCACCGCACAACATACGATTTGAGCGACACAGGAGAAAGCTCGAGTGATAACGAAAAAGCGCAGTACTTATTTTTGTTATATGAACGAAGTTTTACGATCTACTATCGAGAAATGGCCGAGCGAATTCAAAAACGCATCATTGCTATATATTCTGGAGTCGATTCCGAGTCTACTGTTGTAGATTCTGGCACATCAAATGCAATAAGCGCTTACCAAGATCTCATACGAATGCAAGATAATCAACTTCAGAGTTTAAAACGCCAAGTGATTGAGCTTCAAGAGCAACGAGGAACTTCTTGTAATAAAACTGCTAAAGAACTTTGTGATCAAGTATCATTGGATCGCTTTGAAGCTCAACGTGAGCAGTTTGAGCGAGACAAAGCTGACTTAAAGGACCGAAATGAGACTTTATCTCGATCAGTTATTGATTTAGAGACTCGTTTGAAAGGTCTCACGGTAGCTTATGAGCTTTTGGAACGAGAAAATCAACAGAGTAGGAAAGAAGTGGACGATTGCAGTAAAGTCGATGGCTTACAGTCTTTACTGAAGTCAAGTGAAGTGAATGAGGAACTTGCTACGTTGCAAGCTGCACTAGATACAGAACGAGATGAAAAGTGTCGATTGCGTAGTGAAGCAGCAGCAGGTGAAAGTGGATCAACAAAGCTTACATTAGGTGATGAACCTGATGCTGAGCTTGCAAACGTACGTCTAGTAATGCAGCTGGAAGACCTTCGTGTCGAGAATGAACAAAAAGGCGAGCAAGTTACTGAGTGTAATGAAATGCTCGAAATGCTTACAGAAGGCCAAGCACTTGTCAAGACCGAGAATGAAATGCTTAAAGTTCAGCTTGCAGAGGCTCAAGCGAAATTGAAACAATACGAGAATGGATGTGATGTTAACACGAAAAGCATTGTGGATGAATTGATGGAGGAAAAGGTTCAACTGGAGCGACGGATTGATGAGTTGGAAACTGCAGCATGTGTAGCATACGAACAAGATCAAGAGGTGCTTCAACAACGAATTCAAGAAGTAGAGCAGGCACGACGCGCGAGTCCTCCGATGAGTGAAGGACTTGACGGAACTTCTTGTGATGATGAGAATCTTCCGACAGAATTGGTCAGTAGCGAGGTGCATGCTAGTGATTCTCGCATTAACAGGCTTGTGTCCTCACAACTTGAAGAAATAAAGGAGTTACGTGCTCTTGTTACTGAGATGGAATCGGTCGCTACAGAACGTGAAGCTAAGATACAAGATCGTGTGGCTAATTTTGATGTGGAATCTCGGCGTGAAAAGGACAAATATGCTGCAAAGGTCCGTGAACTTGAGGATGAGCTTGCGCGTGGTTTCTTAGAGAAAAAAGATAGCGAGCGCAAGGCAAAAGCGGCTATAAAAGAGCTTGAAAAAGAAGTAGCACGGTTATTTCTAGCCAAAGTGGAGCTTGAAAAGGAATTAACTCAATACCGGCAAGTAAGTGACGAAAATGACGTTCAAGAAACTACAAAGAAATTGGACAAGTCGAAGATAGACAATCACTTCATGGTCGACGATCTTTTGGTATTAGTAGCAAGTTTAGAGATCCAGTGCTCAGTCCTACGTGAGACTTTAAAACAATATCATGGAGAAGATGCCGTTGCAGTAGCAGCAGAACTGTCGAGACAGCGTGGAGCCGTTGTTTCCATTTAAAAGTCACAATTTATGAAAGCAAATGATGATCAATATCATTTGTTATTACTATCAAGCGTTCCACTTGTTCCAAAGAAACACAAATATGACAAGTAGTCCATATACAATTGCCACAAGTTTCGTATTGAAGCCTGTAAATACTGAAATCGGATTCTCAACGACATGAATTGAAGTTCCATTACTTTTATGTGTATCACACGTCGCACGACATGCACCACAAGGACATTGTTTGTCATTCTTTGACTTTGATGCAATCGTTTCAAGTAATTGAGCTTGTATCGGAAGTATCTCGCGAGTTTCAATAATTTCGGAATAATTTGAACACTCAAGTATATCATGATGAAATGACTGTTGAGTGCTTTGATTAAACACCAACGTGATAAATTCTCCATGACCTACGGCTCCAACTTGCATTTGATAATTTAAAAATCCTAATGAAGATTTCATTCCTGCTGCCATAGATGCCATTGCTGTATTTTTACAAGAATCAAAGATTCCACACGTATAATTCTTAGTTAGTGCCACATTGACTTCCAACACTTTAACTTTTTCTTTTCCTGTCATAGGATCGGGACGATAAGTGATACTGGGCCATTCGTAAGTCATGTGCATGAATTTATCTTGAAAAGGTGAACAGATCAAACCACACCATAAACTCATAAGATTAGCAGCACAAGCATCACAACCTCCAGCATTGTTCTTGGCAAAGACACTAGCTAATAATTTAAAATTCTCGGCCATAGCATAATTTTGCTGCCATGAGCAACATGCATCATTTTTATAAGCAGGACATTGGATAGCAATTTGATTACAATGAGGACCAGCAGCCATGCCATCATGACGACAGACACACATCCCATTAATACAATGACCTTTGCTATTACACTCGATATTAGTAGTACAATTTCCACCACCAATAACACTTGGCCAACCATTTCCAGTCATAGGAAGAGAATCCACAGGAATTTTATAAGCTTCAGGGATACATGCATCGTAATCTGGTTCATTCTCTGGGTTTAGACATGTCTGTGTCATCACACATTTAGCTTCCACGGTATTTAGAAACACGACGAGAACAAGGATAAGTAGCGTCATATGAAGAAAATCGTTTTACTCGAAGTTTAAAGTTATTTTCCTAATTTTTTTGTAATTGAATTATTATGTTATTACGCACTTGGTCACGTCTTCATAGCTCTGGATCTCGTCGTTTCTCCACTCGATGGTTTGGTATTGATTCTGAATACATTTCTATGCGTGGATTGGGTATTGCTAAACGTGTATTCAATGAATTACCTCATTTCATGCGTCAATGTCATGAGAATCCACGCATTTTTACGACTGGATTGTCTGATGAAGTACGTAGTTCGATGTTTGTGTTGTTACAATTTCCATCAAAAACAAGAATCGATCTTCTCGAATTTGTACAAGGCGCAGAGCAAGTGGCTCATACAGTGCTACAAAGTCTTTATACGTCGAATTTCAAGATGACCAAGACATTTTTAGAGCAATTCGCGACACCTCAAAGTCTTGAGATATTGCTAAATAAACCATCTCTAGCTTTACAAGGAGAGAATTGTATGCATGTCAAGCTGGAACAGTTAGATATAAGTACTGCGACATTGGAAGCTGTGGAGTACACGCGGGAAAGATTTGTGGAAGATATCAAGAGCGAATGGCTTACAATTCGAGTGCAATATGATGTCACGGAACACTTGCTGATTTCATCAGAAGATAGAGAAAGTATTGAAGACCGCCGTGTGATTAATACGCAATTTGTCTGGACATTTGAAGCGGATGTCACGGAGCCAAATGAAGTAGAATGGGCCATTGTGGCAGCTACGCCGTTTCAAGAAAAGTTGGGGGTGCTTAAGGCGAACGCTTCATAGAAAGAAAATCAAGGTATCTGCACGTTGATGTTTTGCGGCTGGATGTACAATCTTCATCGCTTAATAATGAATGTTCATGCACTTCAGATCGACTTTTCAGATCAAGTTTTCGTGCTCCGAAATGACAGCAATTCTCTACTCAAAAGTTCCTTAGTCTTATCTGCTAGAAAGTGGATATACTTCTTTGTAGATAACATAACAACTTCATCACTAGACCACTTTATCTTGAACGTCGAGCTGGAGCAGCCTAGACACAAAACACCTGCCGAGCAAGCACAGATCGCAAAATAAACATGATTTCAGTATTCGCTGCTTGAACAACCGCTAAGTTTTGGAGTATTCCGTGGCATACCTAAAACTAAACAGCAGCTTTGTAAGACGATCGATCTAACTTAATATCAACAATATAGTTCACTTGGTCAAATGATTTCATGATAGAAAACAGGCAATGGAAAGACGACAACATATAGCTCAACGTGATGGAAGTTTATGATACTGATTCGACAAGAATCTCATCACACTTGCTAAGCATAAAAAATTTCAATCGCTTTGATTGCATTTTCAGATTTTTTCTTTGATTTAATCTAACTACGTTCACAACGGCTGCTACTCAACTAAATGCTCTTAAGAATTTGACTAGTACTACTGATAGCTTCGATTCAGTGAAAGAAAGACATGTTTATCATGATTTGACAAACGTCCATATACTAAAGAAATACTTACGCGAAAGTTCTGACGAATAAGAGCTGATAGCGTGGGTCGTGCACCTTCATCAAGGTTGCCCATTTCTAAGATCATCCAGCTGTGTATGGTGCTGATGCGCTAAAGCAAGCTTTTTATAAGATCTTTTGCAATAAAGCTCGCTTTGCAAAGTCAATTGTATATTCGAGACTGATCATGAAAAGTAAATAGAACCGCTTCTCAAAGAAATACGGATTCCCATTTAAGCAAACTTTGTGCTATGGGTCTACTGAGTAGTCTAAACAACCAAGTACCGGACATACACAAAGGCATGCAACGTTTGTGAGCACATTGTGAATATCAATTGGATTTGACGAGGCGAAAGGCTACATATAATTTTGCTGCTTGACCATTCATTACTTCAAATATTATCAGTCATCCACGCAATGGTTCAGGATCGCCTACGGCGATGTCTCCTTCAGGGGGTACCCAGGAATGACGCTGTTGTCGTGCAAAGAGTCGCAGTTGGATCATCCGTTGCGCAAAAAATTTGGTATCTTTGTGATATTGGCGCTGTGCTGTCATCGCCATAGCTTGACGTTCTTTAGAAGTCAATTTGAGCACTTTCGTTACTGAAGCGCAAAGGTTTTTGGCTGTAAACTCAGCGACAAGACCATCAACCGATTTGAGGCCATGAGAACCACGATATGCGCCTCCAAAAAGTATATCTGATCCAGATACACGCTGCGTTTCAAGCAAGATCCCACTTTTATCGGAAGAGATAAGCTCATTCATTGGATGAACATCGGTTGTAATCACAAATCCTCCCGAAGCACGAGCTTGATTAATAAGGTGACCGTAGCCTTCTTGTATGCTTGGATAAAGAAAAAAAGACGACTCGGCCATCACTTGACCGAAGGCTAAAGCATCCAAACGTTTACGAATCAAATTCACGTTAGATGCTTTTAAAATTGCATCATTTGATACAGACGAATATTGGTTATCGTAATAATTTCGATCAATGTACAAATCCAAAGGTGGCAAGTTTGGGTCGGACAACCAGCAATCAAGGACTTGCTTGGTGCCTTTATACGGACTAATACAACAACTTATCAATAATTGATTCCATAGATGAAACACATCAATAAACGCACCTTAAACCAGCCATGTGTGTAAAGCGTACATTGGCAAAGTTCTTGTCTCGAATTGTTTCTTTTCCAATCATCTCAAACGCGTGACTAGCTGCATCTGAAGACGTAAATTTAGTGTAAAAGACTTTGGCATTCCGTGGATTGCCCTCCTGTGCATACCACGCTTTTGTACGTTGATCACAAGTGAGCGTTCGACAAAGAACAACATCCACACGCCAGTAATGATTGGCCGTCATCTCTCTCATTTCAAGGTTTGGTAAAACATAAATTGGTTTCGCTTCTGGCCACTCTGACCTCGTTGGTCGATCATCCCAATAATGATTGAAAAATATGAGTGGTGTCAATGGACATAAGTCATAATACATGACGCTCTTATTCACCTTTGGATCAAAAAAATTGTCTTCTAACGCCCACAATGGCAACATTCGCGAGTGTAAAACTACAAACATAAGCTTGTTAATATCATTCCAACTACAAATATCGACTCAAAAGCTTACATTTTGTTAAAGCCACGCCATTTTCGCAATATTCAACGTCACGTATACCATCAGGCAGATAAATATCCACATCTGGACATTTCCTTAATTGTTCAAGAATTCGTGGATCGTCTCTCTCGAGTATTTGAGCCTGAAATTTATTTTCATGATCTGAAAAATGTTGGACACCATGTTGCCATGAGATAATAGCTTGTTTCTTAGCCATACACACTGAGTGTAGCCAGCTTAAGTGCTCACGTTCCTGCACAGGTACATTACTACTTTTGTCCGTCATCCACTGCGGTACTTGGGCAACCATCAATTCAGCATCCTCAAGATCCGGTGGTAATAAACCAAATTCCTCTTTATCTTCTGGAATTTCTATGAGATGACGAATAGTCGAGACATGTACATGTTTGAATAGCAACATTTCAAGCAATAGGAAACCAATGATGTAAAGCATTAGAAATGGTCCTAAACGCCTAGCGCGCTGTACTGGCATCAGAGGTGGCAATGGTGGTATATTCAGTGTCACGGAAAGCCATTTACGTTTCATAGTGGTACTTGAATATCGTTTTGAAGTGATAATTGAAGAAATGATGCTGCAATGAATCTATCGAGAGAACAGACGATTGGACATACGTTTCTGGGGATTGTCAATTGGTTCTGGGGTATTTGATTTTTTGGAAATTCGATATTGCAGAAGTTAATTTATGATAGCAATGGGATATTCGACCTTCTACTCGACATCCATTTTCTATGGTGCTAACTACTATCCTTAAACGTTGGTGCACGAACGTTGTACGAGTATGTTGAGGTGTTTGGAGGATTTGGATGGCTTTGGTCGATTATCTTCTGTTATATGCGAGTTGATCTGATTGATTTTAGTATAGCTAAGATTGTTACGATTACTAAAGCGAAGGTGAGACTTCTTTGAGAACTGCTAAGGAAGAAGACCTTACAGATACTATTCTGCATGACTGAAGATGTGACTTATTTGTTCACTTGAAGCGAAATCGCCCAACTAGGATCAAAAATAGCAACGATCGATAAAGATTTTGGGGTAGATAAAGAGAATGTTCACAGAATGGCTGGGATTCTGCTCATATATAACTAAATACTAAACTCTGGAAGCGATTTAGCGAGCTTACACTTCTAGATCTTGGTCGTAAGCGTGGCTCCAAACACTTTTATCTCTATCTCTCTTTGAGTACTCGATTGTAATCATTTATCTTTCATAGTTTAGGCCAAAAACATTAACAGGAAGGAGTGAATGGTTACGTTTAGTGTTGTTCTCTTCTCTTCAGCGGGTGCGAAGTACAGCTATCGAGATAAATTTAGATGCAGACAGTATATTTGAACATATTTTCTCCCCGTCCAGGTCTATTCTTGCCAAGAAATGTCCGGCTCGGTTATCTTATAAGAACCGCTGACACTTGGTACCAACTTCGATGTCAATCCTCACAATGATTACTCGTATTTGTGAGCGGCTTCAATGCACATGATAATACTGATGAAACACTACTACAATTTTGATCTCATCGCGCAGCCTTCACAATGGAGTTGCCGTGTACCTCACTCAGAGGAAGTTAACATGTGCGCAGAGGATTAATTCGTGCAGTCCACTCACCAGATGACTTACTCTCTCAATGGTCAGCTACAATTAGTATTTTCTCTATATCCGATAACGAAATCAATCTTTTGCGTTGCTTGAGGCTAGCAGTCTGTGGATTCAAGGAAATATTCCCTTACGGAGATCCATCACCCTCACTCGGACGAGTATTAGTCATGATACTTCATCACAGTGCTTTACTTTGATACTTCTGAGCTTCATTTCAAGTCTAAGGGGCAGGATTGACAACAGTGTAATGTGTGCGTACGCCATGATACTACGGTAAGTATCCTGCTACACCTACACAAAAATATAATCTTTTGGTTGCGAGAAATACAGGGGTGCATTTTTGCCAGCACAATGTTGTGGGGGCTATTTGGACATTTCACACGTAACGTACATAATAATTCATAAAAAATGCTTAGAAGTAAAATGATATTTAATAGGCAAATTTAAAAGTAGGATTATTCACGATCATCCCAGTATTTTCTGAGCATAACGTAAAATATGACCTGGTTAATTAAGAAAATAAGTGGATTTTTTGCGAAATGAGACAGCTGCATGGCCACATATGCCTCATCAGGTCGCGTACGTGTTGTGATGTACGACAAACATCTTATCTGTATGGTTTCGACCGTGTTTTCGCTTTCTCGGCGTCCGTCTTTGGCGGTTGCATATTCGACAGCTTCAAGCTCGTATCGCGTGGGCTCATCATTTCCATGGCATCTTGCTGACTGACCAACTCACCATGTCGGCAATGTATCGGGTCTGTCGAATAATAAGAATGCTGCCATTACGGTCGTGATCTGTCTCCATACAACGAATAAATTTAGCTGTGTCCAGCTCCTTCATCTTGAATGATTTTTTGAGTGATGTTTTCATATTCTCAATTTACCTATCCGTCTTGGAGGCAATTATATATTTCGAAGACATAAAGTGACATTTAGACAAATTTGCTGTTCTCGAACCTGACGTGGAAGCACTGATCCGCTTCAGTACTTTTTAATCCCATGGACAGGAATGCAGTCGAACTTGTCTTGTTTCATGCGCTTGCAGCCTGTCGGAGATCAAAAGTCTCTTTGTTCAGCTTGCACATCATATTGATGGCAGCGACAATTATATGTGGTTTTTCCATGTAGACCTCTTCCTTGAGATCAATGTTTAAAAACGCAGTGTCGACATCTAGCAGCTCAGTCACGTATCCCATCGCGACAGCTACAGCTAGCACGATTTTGATGGAGTCCATGTCCGCAACGAATGGTGAGGCCTCAAATAAGTCGAATTTCTGCTTATAGCCCATATCGACGAGTCGAGTCTTGTATCGCACGACCTGTCCGAGCTCATTGCGCTTCTTCGCGAATCCACCGGCATCCAATCGTTCAAACGCTCTTCTTCTTTGGAACAAGAAACCATGAGCCACTCTCAGAGTGAGCCTTGAGCTCCGCATTCATCGCCTTCACTCATTCCGGAGCATCATCGCTACTCATGGCTTGCTGATAGTGTTGGGAGCATCGTTAGCCTCGCCCACATTAGAAAAAAAATCGTCTTCATAAATCGTTGACGGCGGCCAGAAATGGTCTTCGTTTTACGTATCGCTGTCGCTGTCCACTTTGTACCCGTCGGTAGTCGTCGATCTGTGTCAAAGAAGAAGGACTAGTTTTCGTGCACGACGTAGCCGACCTGCTTCAGGGTGATCCACAAGGCTGTCGTTTGTCACTAGCTCTCGCACTCGCTGGTATGTTTTCAGCTCTCTTCCGGTAAGCTCACATGCGTATCCACATCAGTATCAACATCTTCTGCTGTCTGTCTCGACTCAGCAAATGTGAGTTTAGCGCTAATTCCCTATGTTGTATGTGATCAAGCATAGACATGGCTTCATCGACCGTCGTCACCTAAACAAACTTGGGCTCGCATGCCGTTTCCGGGTTATAAACGACATTTACCTTGCGCTCATCAAGCTTCAGCGATTGCGCCGCCTTCACATTTCTTGACTCCAGATCATATACCCTGTAGCATTTTATCATCCTCTGGCTATTCAAGGAACATGCACATGAAGCCCTTAAAGTCAACCTTCGTCCTCTAGGCGTCATCAATATGGGCGTTACCCTATGATTCGAGCGTACGCAAGTGTCACAGTTCCGGCTTCTGCTTGAAGCCCAACTCAAAAGGTTTGCACTCTGAGTTTGCCGTGTTCGTCGAGCGGTTAACTTGTTACACTGCAATTCCAGCTGCTTTCGCCTACCACTCAGAAGATATGCCGTTGTAGTGCAGCATACTCCGCGCCTCTTCCATAATCGATCGGTTTATTTAATTTGCCAATCCGTATTGTTTAGGGCTGTGCGTCATGTTGCGCTGAAGCATGATACATTATGCCGTTCCTTGTGCGATCTCAGCAACCTTCTTCTTCGCGAATTTTGTCTAGTTATCCTATTGTAAGCACTTGAACGTCGCCTTCATTGGTTTTGGAAAATGTCTTGAATTCGTTCAGCTTGGCGACCACCTCACATTTAGTTTCGTGAAATTCGCCAAAAACGTCAAAAACGTCAGTATATACCGTGCACCACCCATTGTGAGAGTTTCATCTGCCCCATCACGGCCGTGTGAGCGATCTCCAGCACAGGTGATGTCGGAATGTGCAAGACCTTGACCATTTTGGTCCGCGCCGTCAAGTTCTCTCAGCCTTACAATCCCCTTTCTTGACGCACCCAGCTTCTTGCCGCCCGCAATGGTGACCTCTGGACCAACATCCAGATTTTCATTATCAGACAGATCACAGCGATGATGTATCATGTGCGATTTGGCTTCATTATCAATGAGCCACTCAGCACCTCGTTCTTCTTCCACGGCAAATGCAGCGCCGTGAGTTGCCCTGCTTTTAAAAGTTCTCCTTGAAATGTTCAACTTGGCCACACTCGAAGCACTTGTACACGAATCCAGAACCATTATTTCGCGTGCCGATCAATTCGCGGTCGTTGACGTGGCCACCATTGAAACGTCCAGCATTCACCGTTTGCGCGCGCTCCGTATTCTCCTTCTTTCGCAGTCGCTCGTCATATTCAGACTTTAGGACTTCTAAGAGGTCCTTAATCCGATCATGAAAATTGTACTGAAGATGATTAATCGTCAGAATCTCTCTGAAAAGCTTCGTATCATTGATACTGATCTTACTATGCCTGATACATGCTGCTTGAAGGCGAGTGCTCAAATTATTGACTGTAGCTGATCACTGATAATGCACGTTTTTGGTCCGCACTTGCCTCGCAATGACCAGAGCTTTAATATCACTATCGAGGGTCCAAATGTCTTCAAACCGAGCTGACGAAAATATATGCCGATGGGGTGGCTAGATCTTGGATCTAACTAAGGTTGTACGTTCTCTCTCGACGGACAGCCCCTTCAAGCGGGGCGACACCAGCACATATTATTTCATAACCCTAAAGCTTTCCTTAGCTCTGACCTCCGCCTGTCGTTCCTACCTGATCAGCGTCTGACGAATCGTGCGTTTGTCGTGTCTTTCATTCAATGGATCAAACTCTTCGTAGTCTGAGTTCGGAGTAGCTATTAGCCATGATTTGATAGACAGCCTTGATTGCTTCCACGGCCGCCTTCAACGCTGACCTTGCGGTTTTTGATTTATTACCCCTACTGCTCGCTTCCCCTTAGCTTTTGAAAATGTTTGCTAAGTCTCATCGCAATATTGAGTAGCCTCAGAAGATTCGATTCGAGCTGATGTTTTTTATCGTCAAGGATAGCTCAGTTCAGTAGCTAGAGATTAGCTTCGAGATTTGTATCATATCGCTCTATGTATTTAACCCTATCATCGGGTTATTGAAAGTATCCATTCATGTGATGGTTTTCACAAAATCGTTGAAAATCGTGCAAAAAAACGCATTGTTCTCGTGGTTTCTAATGCAAATGGTTTGACTGCGGTAGCTCACTTAAGTAGTAGTTTGAGTGAGCTTTCACGCCACTTCTGGTATCTAGTCTTGATTTCAGTGTAGAAGGAATGCAAACTCCTCCAAATACTTTTTCGCTATTGTAGTCCACGAGAATCCTCTTCGCATCGTTATCAGCATTAGTTAGAGGACTATTTACATCTTTATCAATTCCAATCTAAAATTCATGGCGAGCCTCGCCATCCCGTGATTTAAAGGCCTGTGCAAGTTTGGTGTTGTTTTGGTTAGTAAATAGACCAACATCGTCGCGATCTTTCACTCAATTGATAAATTGCTGATCTTTAATCCATGTGTTTGGCAATCGCGGGTTTGACTCTCCCAACATCAATTCCAAATACGCTAATTGATGAATCGTCAATCCATATGTATTCAGTTTTATCTATTTGAGGCATTGTATCTATGATTTTGAGGATAGGGATGATTATCTTTGATAAACCAGTCAGCTCAAGCATTGTCTCATTCGTAAAAATCGACCTAAGCTGATGCTCGTGATGTAAAGAGCGTTTCCTAGCTCGATACTTTTTATCCGACCTACGAATGCATTCACATTTCTGGAAGCTTAATCCATGCTATATACGTTGTTCCCAGCTGGAAGCAGTCCTCAACCTGTAGGTAACAGGCTTGAAGTTCTAAACAGGCTCAACGTATACTTCACCTGCTTGAACGAGCAGTAGCGTTTGAATGCCTCCTTTACCTTAGTCTGAATTCGACGAAGATCCTACTTAGTGCTCGAAAATATGCGTCCAGGCGATGAGGTGGAGTCGCACTTGTTGTTGATCTTAGTAACGTTGATTTCGTGCATGTTTTCGCAAATAACTTTTGGAAAAAACGCTTCGTTGTCTCCGAGGGAATGGTCGCGATGGTAGACAAAAGTCTTAAACGCAGTGATAACCTTAAGCTTATATCCAGATCTGGGGTAGTTCAGGTTTTCAGCCAACTCCATAGACCGGATTTACGAAGTCACCTTCTTTTTAATACCGCCTTGCTGTTTTTTGCGCGACAGGCTTATTGAATACATATGTGTCAGTAGGATTTGGTTGTAAGTAGTGAGTGTCATCAGGATCAATTTCGCTCACAAGTTCGCGTATAAGAGCAATATCTACCCTGAAGCACTTACCTGGGTCGGAAAAACGTTCTTTAGCTTATCGTAGAGATCAGTAGCCTTAATACTGTAAGAAGGGTTACACGTACCCTGGTATGAAGGGGTGGGTCACACAAGACGGTGTGAGCATACAAAGGGTGGATTACACAAGACGGTGTAATCACACAATGGTGTGGCTGCACCTTAACAGGAAGTCAGTATGTGGCTGGACTGCCAGTAGCTATGCATTCTAATTGGGTTGTAGTTTTTTAATTAGGAAAAACTATAGATTTAGATACAGGTGGCTTTGCCGCAAATAAAAACCGAGAACTACAGTTTATATTTTGAATGGAAGCGTATTCTGTCTTGAATTAAGATTGTGGGTATCCTTGGAGTAAGAAGATCGCGATCCGCTACACTCGTACTGGTTCTACTATACGGCGAAGGTCGGTGACCTTAGGTAAGCTTCCTCTAAGCAAGGAGTTACGGCATCTTGCTGCACCTGATAGCACATGCAGTATTGTTACATATAAGTCTTTACGACCGATTCTCTGTGGGGATGGAGCAATGCCGAGCTCAACTTTAAGTCGGCACGGCCTGGTTGGAATGCACACTCTAGCAGCTCGTCGAGCGGGCCTGAGCCAACGAATCTCAGCTATACTGAGGTCGAGGAGGCAGAGGTCCAAGCTGCCAAGCAGCATGTGAACACCAGACGGTGTTTTGTCTGTGGATACATTCATCGCCTTCGGATTGGTTGCCCCTGTGCAAGGCGCGTAAAGGTTCATCGAATCGATTTCCCGCTTCCCACCAGTCTACTAGTTTGTCGCAGGGAAACGACAACACCCAGTAGGCGCGGAGTGCCCTACTGGGGAAGATCTGAGCTTCAAACAGGTAGAGGTCAGCAGGGCCCAGCCCCGAAGAGCTTCGTGCTCTTGAACACGAAACGTGTATGCAGGCCGGGCTTGCTGGCCGTAAAAGCGATTGTGAAGGGCATTGAGAGATCATGGAATATCCTTATCGATTCCGGGGGTCAAGAAATAATTTTCAACGATCCACGATCGAAGGAAGTTAGCTGTATGCTGAGGCGTTTAAAGCGTGGTTGAGTGACATTGTCGCTGTTCGCTTAGCGACGGGGCATGTGTCACGGTATCGAGGGTTCCTGTGGATCTGGGGTCAAGTTTCTTGACTTTGTATTCGCATTGATAAAAACCACAAGATTGCTTTTTATATATACTGGTGCTACTCTTTACCAGGATTTTTGGAGTAGTGTCAAGCCATTGCTATAGTCATCAATGAATATAAGCTAGTTTGTTAGAGCTTAATAGAGTATGACGCAACTGATCTACTTTGGGGGGGTATGTGGGTCAGCAAATGTGATACATCCTTCCAACTTATCCCGAAATACTAACAAGCTCCTGATGGTGGTTTGGAAAAACGAGATCTAGCTGTCCGGGAAGGACAGAACAAGCCTAAAGTTGCAGTCGGTGTAGCGAATTATCATACACTATTGATTTGTCAAGACACGGGTCTGCAGTCGAAAATACTAAGGTGTATCCTTGGTATTTTGGACTGCTTACGAGCGTAGCTTAACAGGGATCAAAACAAATTCTCATAGTCTTAGAAAGAATGCGAGCACAATTTGAATTCTACGAGGCTGATGAGAGCCTAACTATGACCTCGCTAACACAATCTTTTGCGAGTGAATTTTTCTGTCGGGGATTAAGTACCATTTCAGTAAGCTATTGTATTCGAGATATCTTGTTATTCCAAACATGATTATCTGATCATCTATATTTTTGTTTCAGTATAGGAAAGCTACTCACCTGAACACTACGAACATAATGAGCTAATCAAAACCTCTTGAGCGGTACTATCTGCAAAGAAGTGAGATTAGTGATTTCATGAAGCTTGTTCCGACTTCAGATGTATTCTACATGCCATTGTGGACAAAAGAAGAACTTGGTACCATCGCCCCCTTGTATCCAAATACAGACAGCGTGTGGGAATATCGCTTTCCTGCTTGGGGTGTGTGCCTCGTCTAGTGTTGCAAGACATTTAAACAGACCCGCGAGTTTTACTGATGTCGGCATGCAGCAGTTGTTCTCTCGATGACTGCTTTATTGTTGTCTATATACTATGAAATTAACTCCAACAACAAGATCGTTCAGACTTTGATTCACATTCACAGCCAAGAACCGTATCGAGAGTATATGCATTAGAGTCGGCGATGCCGTTGATTGTTTGCATAAAGTGGCAATTTGACTTTGACTGCGCGTATCAAATTAAAGCAGCTGCAATGATTATTGCATTAAAATGCTTTACACATCAGCAGCAGCTGAAATATCAAGTCAATTGCGGTTTAGCGCTTCCAGACGTGCTACAGCAAATCTGACTGGATCAGACGCATCAGATTAAGGCAGCGGCAATGATTATTGCAATAACATGTCGTCATGTCATCCAAGGTTGCAAAGCCTTCTTTGTTCGTCAGGTGAACACCCGCTAGCACAATCACTGTGTGGATACATCTTTAAGTATTATTCTATGGATCGGCTGGAGCAGGGTGGGACTTCCGTGTGTCGAGAGCTGTTGTCGGGAATTAGCAAACGCACTCCAGCTAATGGTACAATCGACGTTTTACTGTCATCGCAGCCTCGGCAAGAAGCAGAGCGGGTGGAAGTCGGTCAACATTCAAATCAGCTGTTTGTACCGCGGACATCGAACTATACAGCTATTGATGCGTGGGTGACGCAGTACGGTGGATTCCAGATAAAAATGCACGGCATCAGCAAGGGCGGGGTGGCAGATGATTTGGCAAAACTGGGCTCGAATGTCAACCGACTCTTCTTTTTGCTTCCGCCACTCTTTTACAAAGCTTTCACCAAGAGGACACCTCAAACCATCGAGCGATTTGCGATCCTTGTTCCGTATGCCAAACTGGTGCAATCCACTTCATTGATATCAGCTTCTCTTTCAATGCCCACCAAGACATTACCTAGTGAGCAATTCGTCATCGGTAGTGCATCGCTCAAAAAAAATATTATGATCTCGATAAATATATAGTTTGTAACAGAGCAAGACGACGTACCTACCTGAACAATGCGAATATGACAACGAGCGAATCAAAGCCGCTCAAAGTGGTACTATCTGAAAACAAGTGAAACCCGATTGTTTTTGCAGCGACAATATGATAAAGTGAATTGGGTGCTCAGAAGCAAAAAAAAGTATCACGTGTCTCTACCACCTGAGAGCGAAAGCAATGTCTTTTCAATTTTCAGAGCCACTCAATCACTGAGATCTAACAATCACTGAATATCAGAATCAAGATGTTTTTGGTAAAGAGAAGTTAACACCCTATGTATAAAGATACACATAACTAATAAAATGTTGAGCAAACTAATCTTTGGAAAATACAAGGGCATGCCGATCGAAGAAATGTAAACTTCTGATCCCAGTATTGTCTATGCATGCACAACCATCTCAGTCTCGATATTACTAAGGATATCAAGACTTTCCTCGACAGCAATAAGCATATGTATATGATGAGTTGGGAGTAAGTACAAGGGGACCGCTGAAGCAAAATAGTCGTACCAATTCTGATCATATCGATTGGCTTTGCAAGAACCCATTCGTGGTTGAGAAGTGTCTTAAGTTACTCAAGGAACTATGGTGATCCTGTAAATAAAATCTTATGATATAATAAGCATTAGGTCATCAATTTAATTGATTGTGTGAATGAGCAGGCTGCATGGAGGTCGGAAAAGACAAGCACGAGGATAAACTGAAGGATTATAAAGACTATAATAAGATATACAATCAAGAGATTGTAGAATGTGTTTGCGGTGAATCATACACGCGCGGACACAAAGCATGACATAAACAAACCAAACAACATCGTTTTCGACGTTGCATCCGATGATGAAAGAAAAAATATGGATTATGCAAGTGAAGAAGCCGATTACAAACGTAATAACTTTTATATACTCGTCGTAATGCTTTTGTTGAATGTGAATGTTTTACATCGTATCCTAAGGCAGAAAAATCACACCATGGTAGAACATCAAAGGCGCATCTGAAACAAGCGATCTGGGTCTGAAGTGATGAAAGCGCCTAAAGCCATTCCGCGTAACTGCGCGGCTCTGAGAGAGTATTCATATAACGATTTGTGGCAGAACCCAGCAGCATGGCAAGACTCTTGCAGAGAGTCAACGTGCCGCTTTTATCAAAACAAATTGCTACGCCCAGTCGCCCTCCGCAAGATTTAGTTAATTCGCTAAAGATGACTTATTTCGGTAGTGGATCAGTGAGCTCGCCAGAAGTGTGGCAAATATCTGAAGGTGAAAAGGTTATCCCTCTCTCCGAGTTATTATAGGTGCTTGAGGTCCAACTCGGCAAGATTACTCTGTTGGCGTTGCCTCGTCTGAAGTGGCGCAACCTCTGTCTTTACAAACCAACAAAGGAGATATGGTCGCCCAACGCAGCACGCTTTTCAATTTTTTAGGTTTTAACATGGTTATTCGGTGCAATAGCAGACTCATGGAGATGAGCACGGCTGTTGGCAGCAAGAGCCAAAGGTGGTGAGCGTCCAATTCGGGTCCAATGTCGTGCTTTTATATTGCAAAGCTAAGCATAAACTGACGCTCTTGCCGAAGGTTTGATTTACTAAAGATGACTTGTAAAGCCATTAAACATATAAAGCGACGTGTTTCTTCTCCATTGCGTTGATGCTCTTTTGCATCTGACCAGCATTCATGGCTAGAGGTACAGTAGTCAGAAGAGTATAGAATTGCTCAATTTAGGCTGCTCTAGATGCATGCAGATATTCTAAGGAAAGTTACCAATAGGGTCAGCAAATGCTCACTGTGCGACTCTTGAACGTTCGTTTATCTCATAATTATGCAAAAAAGCCCGCGTTTGAGCTCTGTCGCGATGCAACGGCCTGCTCCTAGTGAAACATGTTCAAGAGGCAAAGTTTTGCTGCTATTGAAAACATTGTGCACGGACGGGGTAGCCTGACTTGCGTAACAGGTCCAGCTTAGTAGTAACAAGCTGTGCTTTGTCTTGGGGTCCGCGGCGATGTGTGGTATCTCCGCTCGCAGTAGGGAGCGGCAAATGGAGCTCACAACTCGTGCAGAAGACAGACGAAGTTCAATAAAACGAGTGGCGCAGCTGCATGATTATCATTGAGGACGCTGGTATTTGGTCAGGACTCGAAGAGTTACTGTGACCGTCCTCATCGAGGAATACGTAGGCTGTCTCACCAAGTAAGCTAAACGCTGTCTGTAGTGGATACCTTGCCATTCTCAGCGGCGTGCTGAGCCATGCGCATGTAGTGCGAGCTGGGAAAAGGGCTCCCGATTAGGTCAATGCTCGTGAAAATTGGCACAATAATAGCTGCTCGTGGAGCTTTCACCATGCGCGGTTCTTTAACCTTATGATTGTGACCCCAGTTGGGCTCCCATTCTTGTGGTGAATATTCAACGGGGTCCGTACTCAATTGTGGTGCACAAACCGATTACACCGTGTTTGATATTGTCTTTCGCACTTAAAATGAAGCTCAGAAGTGACACAGCAAAGCTGCATGGAAAAGTATCACGACTAATAATCATTTTGGATAATGGTGATAGAATTCTGAGAAGGAAAGCTCAGCAGGACACATAGTCTGCTAGCTTCACGCTATCCTTGTCTCAAGTGGTTTGTAGCTTGGCCTGGGACCGGGAGGAACCTGTATCGATACCCATAGGATCCAAATCAAGGAGGCCGGAAATAGGTCATTATAGTGGATAAGCAACCACACCTTAGTGGAGTGCCTTACCAACCCGCACCCAAATGGGTGTGTGATAGTTGGGTGGGCGGAGGCCGGCCCTACTGACCGAAAACGCCCATAGTGTAATGAGGGGTAAGGAGCCCGGTCCCAAAATAGGTCGGATAGCTAGCTACCAGTATCTCGCGCTAGAGAAGCTTAGTCCTAGTGTGTGAGTTCCGGTTGCTTAAATCTTTCTCTCACGCTATGTGTTTGTTATGAAAGACAGTAAAGCTTACATATGTTGTATCAATTTGACTTCGACTTATTTTAGATACATAATTTGAAAACCATCGTGTGTGCGTTATTCAGATAGGAAGTATCGAGTCAAAGGCTTATCTGTAGTTGGTGCACGACATCTAGTTCCGGGAGGTTACTGTGTCAAAAGTTTCGGAAATGGACTATTCATATCACTTTGGGGATGACTTATTAGTTTCACATGGATAAAACATGACAAGAGCTCCTGAAGGTGGGAGATTGTTATTGTGAAAGCAAGAATTAGACAGAATGAGAAAAATTCGTTAGTGTCTCTCCAAGAGAAAAACTATAAGGCACACAGTCAATCAATCACTTTTGCGATCACCATCAGCGTCATCTAGCCTCTTCACCTCGTCAACTACCGGTTCTTATTGATTCTAAGATTTCCATCGAGAACCTCGCGCTAGTGAATACTCTGCAAAGTGTGACTGCATCCCCATCGCATCTATGCTTCGAGATTCGTTGAGTCCATTGTATTCCAATCAAATCGTGCACTGTCGATCATACGCAATGGTTTGACGCAAACAATTGTGAATTTAAGCTCGTCGATTCGACAGTAAACCATAGATTAAAAAACTATTACAAGAGTTGAAAATGAAAAGTAAGATAGCGCTTGAAGTAAGAAGATGGATTTTAAACAAAAAATAGTTTCTGCACATTTTGCTTAGAGGTATCCGATATTTGCACACGATCACATCTACAACGCTGATTTTTAGGTTTCTGATAGTGTTAGACTGTTTAAGTCTTCCTTAAGCTTACACTATCGAGCGGCGACTCAACTCCCACATCGGGTTCGGCACATCAATCTTCTTGATAGCATTGAACAAGGGGCCAAAAAAAATTACCTGTATTATGCTCAGCGATATTTTGATGGATGCTAAAAACTTTTGTGTAAGAGTGATACGCTAACACTATTAGAGATTGGTCATGGCTTGGGATGCGACGAAGCCGCGTTGATGGTTCTTGCGTCTGGAGCTGCAATTATCTTGATCTGAACGGACAATATGAACTACGAGTGTTGGACTCAAGGCTTGCGATCAGCTTATATGGTAGACTGATGAGCCTTGGATCAAACATGCATTCGACATAGCGTATGCAAATTGTGTATGGCTGCCTTTGCTGAAGCTCTTCCTCTCCAGTTATATGCATGAACATGACAATTATAGCGTGCTGGATGATGTCAGCTCGAATACGAATTTCGAAGTCAGTCTTTTCAACACATTCTAGTAGGAAGGATGTCGTTCCAACTCGATTGCTGTCAGTATACTATCTTTTCTTAAGGCAGACCCGATACATAAGTAAGCATCTTCCAAGTTCTTAGCATCATGGTCAGCTTATGTTCGCTTGTGAAATGACTCGACGAGGAGCATTCGCATCTACTGAATTGGCCATCCGAACTTTAAACACAGACATTACATTCTGGATTTCATTGTGTTTAATGAAGACGTTCACGCCTTTTCCAAGTTACTGAGAAATGATTACGAGCTAAACGGAAACAACAAAGTCTTTTATTGGAGAATGTTTGATGGGCGGGAGAATTCTCGCGATGTGTAAAGTTGAAAACAATCAACATGATCAAAAGTCTTTGATCTTGCTAAAAAACACTTAACATTTCAAATAAATCCCTAATATCTAATTATTTTATTCACATACATGTTACTCGTGATTTCTCTACATGGATGATGACATCACGAGGCTAGTGTAGATACCATTTATTTGCATCAACTCGTGATGTGTACCTTTCTCCGCGATTCTGCCGCTACTCATGACACAAATCATGTCAGCATGGCGTATTGTAAACAGCCGATGAGCAATAACAATAGTTGTTCGATGAGTTTGCGCCACCACTTTATCCAGAGCTTCCTGTACCACCTTTTCACTTTCCGAATCCAACGCACTTGTAGCTTCATCCAGCACCAGAATGCTTGGATTTCTAAGAACAGCTCGAGCAATAGCAATGCGCTGCTTTTGACCACCCGAGAGCTGCTCCCCCTTCATGCCCACTTGAGTGTTGTAACCATCTGGAAATTGCCTGATAAAATCATGGGCGTTGGCCATCTTGGCAGCTTCCTCTATCTCCTGCTGACACGGCTGCTTTGCTAAGCCATAAGCAATATTGTCAGCAATGGACCCATTGAAAAGTGTCGGCTCTTGACCAACCAGACCAATCTGATTGCGTAGCCATTGCAAATTTAAAGACTTGATGTTGTGGCCGTCTAGCAGGACTTCACCCATTACAGGGTCATAGAAGCGCTCGATAATAGAAACGATGGTACTTTTGCCACTACCACTGAGTCCACAGAACGCTACAGTCTGACCAGGCTTAATAGTGACACTGCAATGTCTGAGTACGCTGATCTCCGGACGATTCGGGTACCGGAAGGAAATGTCTTTAAGCTCCAGTTGACCTTTGACTTTTGCTAATTGAAGTCCATCAGGACTAAACGAATCAATTGGAGCGGTACGATCACGAATTGAGAAAATTGTCGATCCTGCCGCCAATGCTTTAGGTAAGTCGTTCATAAATGTCGAAGCGCCACTGACAACTTGAATTGACATCATAAAGGACATTAAAGTACGCATCATTTCAGTAAAAGTAATTGAACCATTGTCGACCATCTTCGCGCCAACCCAAAAGACTAGCGAGTATGTCGCCATCATAATAGATGAGCTAAAGCCAAGTGATGCACCATTAATATGTGCCTCTATGCTACCCTTTCGTAGCGGGTCTTCCAATAATGTGTTGAAAATTTGACAACACTTCCTTTCAATACCAAGAGAAGCAACTGTACGAATATTGCTGAGAGCTTCAGATGCATGGGCACTAGCAAGAGATAAGTCATCGGAGAGTAGACTACCACTTATCGTTCGCTTCATGCGTATCGTGTGCCCGAAAAGCAAGAGTGGAAGAACAACCAGCATGATCAAAGACAACAACCAGCTGCCAAAGCTGAATGAAATCACCAAAACAGCAACCAATGTAAAGATAGCTTGAAAAACACGGGCTTGCGATTCACCGCACAACATAGCCACCTTGGTGGCATTTATCGCAAGGCCAGCAGTTAACGCACCTACTGCATTTTTCTTTTCGTCAAAGAAACCAATATTTTGACGGCAAAGACTTTCAAAATTTGTGAGGCGAAGCCGCGTAGACGTATATTCCCCAATGAGCTTGAAACAGTACGTTTGCATAAACTTAAAGATGATGACCACAATTGCACCTATGAGGTAGAACATGCTGTAGACCTTTACTTCTTGACTTAACTTGCTGAGATTGACTTCATCACCGGTGTCCTGGTACAGTGTGTATTTGTTCTTTAAAGACGTCATCATACCCGTCACCAGCAGCGCAGATATTGGCATTGCGAAACCACCGACACATGCTCCAATCGTTCCAAGTGTAAAGTACTTCGTTTCAAACGTACAAAGCCGAGCAATATCCATTAAAGTAAACGGCGTTTTGTTAACAATATTCTTCTCAATACCATCCTTCAAAATATCCGTATTGGCTGAAACACCACTCAATGTTCGAGGTAGCTTCCCAATGGTTCCTGCTTCACTATTCAATACTTCTTGTTCTTCTCCAAGTAAACGCAACTTCTGAAGATGGTACATCTTCTGATACACGCCGTGCTCAATCTGTAATAGTTGATCGTGAGTACCGCTTTCAACAATGCAGCCCTCGTTCAAAACCACAATCTTGTTGGCACATCGAATTGTACTTAGTCGATGGGCAATGATCAACGTCGTCATGTTCGTAGTGGCAATTAAATCATTTAATGCCATTTGAACGACTTTCTCGCTTGCATTATCCAAAGCACTGGTAGCTTCATCAAGGATCAAAATTCTCGGCTTTCGTACGATGGCACGAGCAATCGCAATGCGTTGTTTTTGACCCCCAGAAAGCGATACCCCCTTTTCTCCTACAAACGTATTGTACTGGTCTGGCAAAGACATGATGAAGTTGTGGGCATTTGACTGCTTACATGCCTCCATTGCTTCATTTAAAGTCACATTGTCGCTTCCTATAGTAATGTTGTCAAATATTGTTGTTGCAAATAGTATTGGCTCTTGTGAGACCAAACTAATCTGCGAGCGTAGCCATCTTACATTCAGAGTCTTGATATCTCGACCATCGAGGTAGATCGAGCCACTAATGGGATCATAGAATCTCTCGATCAAGGCAGTCAACGTACTCTTGCCTCCTCCACTGGCACCCACAAATGCTACCATTTGACCAGATTCGATTGTGAGATTGTAATCGCGCAGAATCTGTGCATCAGGACGACTTGGGTAGGTAAAGTTGACGTTTTTTGCCTCAATTCTACCCTCGCAACCTTCCGGAATAATACCGTTGTCTTCCTTTTCCGCATCAATTGCACTTGTCGTGTCCAGAATGGCAAACAATTCTTCGGCCGCACCGACAGCCGTCGATACAGCTGTCAAGTTGGGCGAAATCTGTGCCAAAGCGCTCGTTCCCATCATGACACCGAAAAAAACAGCAAAGACATCCCCTGGTGTCGTGTCGCCTTTCGATACTTTCCAGCCACCATACCACAATCCAACAGCGTACATAACCCAAACGCTTCCAACGAATAAGGAGATCATCATTGACGACATTTTATGTAGTGCAATATTCTTTCTTTGAGCTCGTAACACTTTGTCCTCGAACTTTTTGATAGCTTTTTGCTCACCATTAAGTGAAGCTACCGTCCGAATCGACCCTAGCGTCTCCTCAGCTACTGAACCTGCTTCTGCATAAACCTTTTGTGCCCATCCTGACTTAACCCGCAATGTCTGGACTAACCAACCGAGCGACAAAGCCATAAAAGGCACGACACAAGCCATGACTAGGGTGATATCCCATCCCCTATAGAATCCAACGAGAAAACCCACACCAAATTGAACAATGAACCGAATTGAATCGCCCAGTTTCTGCCCCATTCCATCCTTGATCTTGATAGTATCTCCGGTCAAACGACTGGTGAGTCGAAGAGCGTCATTTTTGTCGTACCAAGTTATATCTAGATATAGCATCCGCTTGAATGCTTCACCTCGCAGAGCCTTCATTTGCCTCTCGGCAGTGTAATAGAAAGTTAAATAGCTCAGATAGTCTGTAAAGAACATGCCAATTGCAATAAGAAGATAGTCTAGCGCTGCCTGATTCACTGTATCCATTTTCACAGGAATGTGGCTAAATCCAGTGAGTACATTTCCAAAAACGATAGCCATCAGTGGTAAAAGCGCACCATTGATCCCCACAGTGATAATCCCGATAACCAGAAGAAATTTGTCCAGTGATGATGCAAAGCGATACAATTGCAGGAATTTGAACTTTGAAAGTTTGAATGAACAGAACTTTTTCGAAATTTCAAAGCTGGTAAATCTGCTGTGCGTAAAAAGCTTGTGCTTTGGAGCGGACCGAGGGGTTTCTACGTGATAGTAGACGTCGCCATTGTCTAATGTGGACTTGGTCATGATGCGCAACAGTGAAATAAAGAATGAATAAAAAATGGTGATACTTTGATTTTTTTCGAGATTGCTCGTTGGGGTTCATTCAACTTACTGGGCCCGTCTCATACTTGCAGCTAAAACTTAGATTAAAGCTTGTGAGTGAACAATTGTTCAATGTGGATCACAAAGACTGAACAATTATACAATCAAACGAAACCCCGATATTACGGCTCGGAACTTGATTTCACACAATCACTAAAAACACAAAAGCATAAGGTATCCGCCTCTAATTTACTATCATTACTGTGGAGACATTTCTTTTGTGTTCCTTGATAATTCCACTTAATATTGGAGCCAATTAGATTGTAATCGCCGCGAGTTTACAAATTTTGCTATTAGTGTACGGAGAGTAAACTTCTGAACCTATTTCTTGCGTCAATCCCATCTGGTTACCAATAAACAAGCTATCAAGCTACTCGCTTTTATGTTCTCTAAGAGTTATCATAGTTCGAGAACTAATGTAAGGATATCCATCTCAAGAGAAGCACGAAATTATATACCTACGATTATGCCAAGAGATAATGTAATGTTTGGACATAATCCTATCAAAAATACACTAAAAAAATACCCGGAAGGTTTAGAAAAAGGGGTATGCACTCCTCTTTAGAGACTTTGCATAAGACTGGCGGTCCACACTAAATAAGCATGTTTATAAATATGGCAACAATTATTGTGACTGAGTCAGATTTATTGTTTTATGTGTTATAGCCGAGGAAAATGGATGCTAAACCGCCGAATGCTGTTTCAATGTTCGATAGAAGGTCATTGAACGGCTTGAAGGCCTTAAGAATGAATACGTCTGTCTTTCAAGCTGAAATTCTGTCGTAGCTTTAAACCTACTTCGTATATAATCCTTGCATAATCCAATCAGAAATGCTTGATGTGTCATAATCAAGGAAAATGAATGGTTCAGTGCAGGATGCTACCGTAATGCTCTGATACAAGGTACGCATACGGCCTGAAGGTCTTACAAATGAATAGGTTTGTCTTTTGGACCTAAATTTCTTTCGTAGCTTTCTTACTGCTTAGTCATAAACTTTGCATAATCCAATTAAAATCGTTTTTCTGATTACTGCTCGAAGGATTATTGATGATCCAAACATGTGTAAATAAATATTAATGTGTTTGAGACAGGGACTGGAAAAATATCCACTCGACATCGATATTCATGGACAAACTCTGCGTTGATCTTCTAGACCAAACAATTTTCTTCTGATTTCGGATTAGCCTAGAGAAAATGGTGTGACTTTCTTAATTACTCATAGCCGGCATAGCTCAATTGCTTGATATTTAGTGTTCACTGCAAGATTCAAGTCACCTCGTAATTATCATAGTATTTAGACTAGAACGTACATTATTAAATGAATCTGACATAATTGCGGCAAGGTGACTGAGAAATATGTAAATTTCATGAATGTTTAATTGACATATTCGCTTATGTTGTCCTTCAAAAAGCCGTCATCTGGACGATATGAATATTGCTGTTGAAGAAATCCATAAAAATAAAGGAAGGTCCGTCACATTTGACGGCTTCTGTTTATTTAGTAAATGGCAAGTCAAAGAAGGAGAATGATCCACTTTTTTCCATGACTTTACCTAACCAAAATCGCAATCAAGGCTTTTTTTGCTACATCGTTCGTGTCGGCGATGGCGAACAAGCGCACCAAAGTTCTCCGGGAGGTAGGTGGGTACAACCATTGCGTGATCAGGATGAGGAAAGAAGTGTCTTTTGGGGCATGTAATGGCGGTCAAGAATATGATCGCTATCACAGACGTAGCAAGTGGGTGACGTCAGTCTAAAGGGTATCATTGCACAACACTCTAGGATTCAATATCATACCAAGGTGCATCGTCCTCGTGTGCCATAGAGACATGGGTAACGCTACGTGATGATTCGTACCGTTAGACGCTGCACAATGACGTGGTGATGGTGCGTCAACTTTATGACTTTATAATGGAAATCGGTTCTAGCATGGAGCATCTAGACTCTTTTGATAAGCTGGTTGTGGGACTCCAGACAATGCAATATCCATTTGACGAACCAAGTCAGCTGATGGTCACCAATGCAAAAGGGCAAAGGGCGCAAAGCCCTGAAATCATCATATATGTTGCATCTGCGAGTACGACATGGCTGCCCGGCAGCTAAGAAATCTCACTGTTATACCTTAGCATGGCTGAGATCAAGCGCCTTTGGCGCAATTATAGAGCCACCGTCTAGCCTGCTGTAGTCGGTCATCGCGGCATAAATGTTGTACTTCGCGTGACACTGCCATATTTTCAAACTTGGGCCTAAGATTCCGGCTCGATTTGCATGTGTGCGGAGATCCTTCATAAAGATAGTCATCATTTCTGCCCCCGGAACGGAGCTTGTCGCCATCGTAGCGATATGTGTTCATAACGCTTTAAAATAGTCCACTGTATTTGCCTTTGTTTGATACATATAATTTATACGCATACGGCACGCTTGGTTAGGCGGGACAAACAACAGCAATACCTGCCGTTTTAACTGTTTATGTCGGAAAGCCCTTTGATGCACATGACTGTACTCAAAAGTCGTTTTCGCAAGACACTACTTGTTTATGGCTATCATAAATTGAAAGTATGATAACCTGAATTTTTCTTGCCCATCGATGAATTTCACTATTCCCTGGTGGACTATCAGAATAAGTGATCTCATGGTGGTCGCCAGTTGTGCTTCCACCAACGCCTTGTCAGAGAATACCTGGATTTGTCTAAGCAGCGCATTCCTGCAGCTAGTAAACACCTACAGGTGAAACAAACCTTTCTTTTGCAGCATTGAGGCCAGGATCATCTTGTATTGCAACCCATCGCCACTTAATGGCCTTTCTGTACTGACTTTAGTCCTAAAAATATCGCCACAGGCATAACAATATGAGCCTCAATCGCTTTACTGACGACCTGCTCATTTCTGCAGTACAATATCCTCTTGCCGAGCAGCTTCACGTATGCACTCGGCTTCTTTACAACAACGTGCTCTTGTATTTGTGGAACTTTTGCACACCGTTAGTGATCGCAGAATGGATTGTTTCACAATACGTCTGCGGGCTAATAGTACATAAAGCAACTGTTCTTTGAAAGAAGAATGTTATATTACAGAATCAGTCTATGACAGACTGCTTATCTTGATGTTTGCTACACTCATTTCGGTCGTAGACAAGCCAAAAATGAAGGCGGCTTGTTCTTTTTTTGCTTCGCCTGGGAGTATTGTTAGTGCTTCCTCTTTGTCTTCGTCATGGCATTCCGCCAATTTAACCTTGCATATCGTTTTAGCAGGACAAAAAATCAAAGTATACAGCTGAAACAGTGCAAAACAGCCTGCTAATGAACCATATACAACAGCTTACAACATACCTGTCTGGTCGGCACTAAACCATCCATATATACCGTATTCTATTATTGTTGTCGCACCATAAATGCGATACCAGCAGTCCCTTAAACGGCATTTTATGGTGTCGCCCGAAGAAAATTGAGAAACTATGTTGCCGCAAATACATCGGTCCCATGATAGTGTGAAGCAAAAGTCACATGACGTTGAGCCTTCATCTGAAGCATTTGTAAGACTTATTAGCTTGCTATCACCCATGATCAAAATGCCATACTACTCAGATGAGTAGATGCAGTTATCACAACTCTGTTTGTTGCGTAGTTCTGTCACGAGCACATAAGTAATTAATTACATGCTACTTTTTCCCACCTTTAACTCGCTCACTTTCTTATTGACCAACTCACTTCATTTTTGTGTATGTTTCACACTAATAGATAAGAGCTACATGTTTTCCAGAAAAAAGCAATTGCTCACAGCTTGCCGTTCGTGCAAGCTCACTCTTCGCCTTGAACGCGAGACGCCTTATTTGTATGCTGAAAGATCACGATACACAAACGATAGGTAGCAGGGTATATGAGTACGCGGAACACATAAACATCTAACCTCAACCCATGCATTGTTTGAAAAATATCGATGAATGATGTAAAACCAATTTTCTTCAGTATTAAGTAACCTTATTCAATTTAGGATATTTGCCACTCGTCAAGTTTGACAGCAAACTAAGGGCCTTGCTACTTTAGAAGCAATCAGTACCATTGCTGGATGAAGCTTACATGACATGATTGTGCATTAGTAAACGCGATCTCACTAAGTCGCTCACTAGGTCAAATATCCCTCCGTACATGGTACACTGTGGTCATCAGATGGCCGAATCTTTACATACTGTATTTTCTGTGAGAATGAAACGCAATATTTGTCTCTGTAACAATTAGACACGATTAGTAAGCTCACACGACTAAAAATTGCAGTGCGTTGGCGTAGTTCATATTAAATGGCATCGCACCGACCCAAGTCGGTTTTAAGACCGCCATAAGAGGCAGATGTGCCTTCTGAGGCGAAGTCGGATTTTGCAAGTAGTCTACTGGGGTGCTGTTTAACACTGCGAAAACTCAAGATCAGAACCACATGGTAGCACCTTTGCTGTATACACAGAAATGTGATTGTATTTCGCGTTCTATTGGATGTGGAGACGCGGGAGGATGGCTGTATGTCGTGGTCTTCGAAGTGTATTTTTGATGGGACGGCAAAAGCAGCTGTAAGCTGTTGTCTTCGGTGCCGGAGTTGATAGAGTGGGGAAGCGACTAGGAATCGCACTCTCTCGGTGGAGTCGCAGAGTTAGTACTACCGTGATGTGGGTCTACAGTGTGGAGCTGTGAGCACCTCGTGTTAGCGGCAAGTAAGATTATTTCCTCGTACACAATGTGACAGGGGTGGGCCTTGACTTTGAAAGTCTATCTTAGAGACCTCCAGTAGAAGCTCTTACAATGCTGGACGATTCATTTTACGGGAAAATGTGCAAGGTATTGCATGAAGGTGAAGTCACCGAAATGGTGCATTGGTATCGGAGAAGAAGCTGAGCTCGCCGTCCGTCATGGATGAATATGGAGCTTAAAACACTTGCAGTGCATCAAGTGCGAGGGGCGATGCTTCCATTGCAAGGGGTCCGGCAGGCCCTTGCTATCCTTTGTTGAAGAAATATCACAGTGTGATTCCCCCGATCAGACAGCGCGTAATGAAATTGACTTAGTCTCCGGAATCAACTATTGCATCACACGACCACGGCGTTTACCAAGGGACCCGTGTGATGTCATTGACGATTTCATCCTTGCAAATGACAACGCTGTTGGTGTGAGAAAGCAAACTTCTACAATCGCTGTTGCCGTTCTGGGTCAGAAAAATTATCGTCAAGTGGCAAATTTCTGCGATAATGATGCAAACGCCAATTTTTACAAAGGATGAGCTGCAAAATCGCATGGTCGTCTGCACTCTGCTGATCTTTTTGATGATTTGAGCAGACTGCTGATCAGAAAAAGCAACTTCTATCTCACTGCAGCGAGGAGTCCAAGCGAGATGTTCAGGTAGTGGCTAATTATGTCGTAGAGCCTGTCCAATGCATTGATGGCTGTCAATCGTCTGGAGACACATCAAATCGTAGCTATGCACATATCGTAGCTATGCACAAATCTCTTTTGACGACATATTCGTTCATAGTAATTAGCATGGGAAGTTGAATGTGGAAGACAAAATCAAGCAATTCCGGGTGGTGCTCGAGTGTACGCGCCTAATTCAGCAAGACAGACTTGCTCGACATTATTTACAAATCTGTCTTGTTTGACGATATATACAACTCTGCCTTTGGTGCCGACAAATCCTTTTTGATTGCTTCACTTGATTACGGATCTGCTGGCAGATCCCGCAAAGATAATGGCCGTTGTAATTTGGTCAGTGCCTCTGACTTTCGATGTGTATGCCTACATGGCACGACCCCACACCAATCGGCTTAAATGGTAAGGATGTGCTGGAAAGGATGGAAAAGAAGACCTTAGATGCTGAAAGTAAAGCATTAAGGGAGCCCCGACTCAGCTCTTTTGAATGCAGAACGATTATTCTCGTCGTCTCAATGCATTTAAACGCATGTTTATGTTTGAATTTTTGCCAGCTGTAAGCTGCTGAGTAGAACTACTCCAGTCTTGGATGTAGAATAGGGTACCAGTGCAAAACTGTCAGACATAGACAGGGTATCACCGAAAAAAATACCATGATCTCCTGCGCCCAAAGCAAGAATACTACGTGACAGGAAGCTACTTTCAATAGAGTATGGCCTCGTCAAGCTCAGAATGCACCTGCTGGGCTCTTAATTGTTTTTGATCTATACAGGCCATGCGTCGTTGCGTTCAGCGACGTTATCATCACATCTCTTTCGATAATGGCAAGATGATAAGGATCTCAGCAGCGCCACACATGTTGCGTATGACCCATACACCCAGCGTACTGCCTAAGTAATTTGCGATGTTATCACTGTGTTATTTGACACGTCGTGGTCGGGGTGACGGAAAAGCTCATGTGCCCCAACATTACACCAACCTGACTTTAAATGTAATCCCAAGGTATACTCAGCAAAAAAAGATAAGAGGTTTAGAAAGATTAGATGTGGCTTTATCGAAGCGTGTGGCTGCATGTCTGCACCACTTTTTATCTTAAAGCTTTCTCTATCACAGCACTGACCAACATGACACTCAGCGCTAGTGATGCCTTATGATCAGGACATCAAGTACGAAGTCCTGTTCGAGGTACATGATATCCCTCAGCTAGCCACCGCAAAAGAAAATAGACATACCGCTCATAGGGTAGTATGTCTTACTATCAGTGGCTTAAATCTTCGCCGCATACGGCGGCATGTTCGGCCAGCCTGTCGGTGCCAGCAAAATGCTGGCGCCCATGAGTATGAACTCTAATTTTTGTTTCCTACCGGTATTGGGATATTGGTTCACCGTCTAAGCAAGACAGCTCAACTCGCTGCTGTCAGCGATAATGTGATCGGCGAGAGTAAAGCCAATGGGATATTGGTATACCGTCTAAGCAAGACAGCTCGACTCGCTGCTGTCAGCGATAATGTGATCAGTGAAGGTATAGCCAGAATATTTCTCGACAAAATGTTTTACCAGGGTGGCTAGCCGGTAGCTATTGTATTGGATAGAAATCCGCGCCTTACGGCAACGTTTTAGCGACATTTTTGAAGCGGATCGGCTGAAGACTGGATATATTTCTGCTGGCCATCTGCAATCAGATGGTCAAGCGGAACACTTAAATGGCGTTGCGGAAGAATCCTCCAGAAGTACATACGTGGAGAGAACACGGCACTAAAGCGAAGCGCAGTCACTTAAGTAGGTCGCGCAGATTACGCAGCGCATACCTGTGCAAACTTTCATCCATTTTATATGATAGTTTGGTGAACATCTGGGTGCCTTTGACACCGTCACGAATTGGATCCGGTCTATGCGGGGGCATCAGTCAAAAATGGCTTGCTGATATTAGCCCTGCTACACTGCGTAACAAAATCAGTGGGTGCATTTCGATGAAATTGAGCGTCACGCGCACTTGGCGTCCGACGCTAAGACTGACGACCAATGGCTAACAAAGGAGACACGTCGATGTGGAAGGCAGGCGGATCACACACGAATATGACTTGGGCCAAATTCTATAATCAGTATTTAGCGTCCGTGGTCTCTAGTTTGAAGTTCCAGGCATAGCAAAAATAGTGTATTGACTTATACTCTGTCTATCCCTGTAACGGGATTTCACGTGCCCTGGAATGAAGGATGTGGGACACACAAGATCGTGCCGTCAAAAAAATTGGTGGCTTATACAATATAGTCTGACCACACAATGGTGTGGCTACACTTAAATAACAAGTCAGTACGTGGCTGGACTGCCAGTAGTTATACATTTAATTAGGTAGATGGGAAAACCTATATATTTAGATACAGGCGGCTTTGCCTAAAGCTCACATTCTAAATAGAAGATTTGAACTAGCCTTGCATTGAGGTTGTAGTTACTCTTGAAGTAAGTGGATTGCCATCCGCTACACTCGTACTGGTTCTAAGTATGGAATGAAGGTCACCGACCCTAACCAAGCTTTCTCTAAGCGATAGAGCTACGGCAGCCCTGCTGCAATCCCAAAGAAATTTGAATACAGACAATGTCCACCAAACGTCGTTTTATGTGTAAGCGGGTTGTCCCTTGCTTATTGTGCAGTGTAACGGTTCTGCCACGGATGCTTCGGATGAGTTCACTCCTCTGTGGTGGCTTGTCAGCTCTTTCCGAGAGTCAAGGAGTGCGACCGAAGCTGTGATGTGCCAGATCTCGAATTAGCTATCTGAACTCCTCCGTCGCACTGGCTTGAGGCACCCCACAGCAGGCCAGAACCGCGTTGCTGCTGTATAGCGGAAGGTAGTGCAACTGCAAGAGATGGTAAAGAAGATGCTTCGATTACACGAGTTCGCTTCTTGTCAGACTGGCTCGTTAGAGCGGGATCGCGGTATGGCTTCAGTAAGCTGGGTACATCAGGGCTGTTACCAGTACCTGGTGAAGTAGAATGCTCTCAGCCTGAAAACTCAAGGAATTTCGCAATCTAACTTTGGTAAGATTGCTCTGGTGCTGTGGCTGCATACGACCTGGTGTATCTTTGGTCTTTATATCCTTAGGCAAAGAGACAGGGTCGTCGTCGCAGCCCGCTTCCTACAAGTTGGAGGCGACTG